CCCAGGGTCCCCATATTGTATTTTTTTAAAACATTAATTAAAACAAACAAAAATAATATGAATATTACCGTTCCCGAGGGGTTTTTTTTTTTTTTGGTTTCTTTTTTGTCATCGAAACTATTTTCATTTGCCTAAGCCTTAAGCCTTATTGATATTAAATGTTTGGACATATTAAAACAAGTAGGTGTGAGCAAAGTTCGCAGAGGATTATTCCCGAGGGGTTTTTTTTTTTTTTTGGTTTCTTTTTTGTCATCGAAACTATTTGCATTTGCCTAAGCCTTAAGCCTTATTGATATTAAATGTTTGGACATATTAAAACAAGTAGGTGTGAGCAAAGTTCGCAGAGGATTATTCATGTATCATACTATGACAGCAGGCCGTCGAGTAACGGCGTTAATCCGGGGAACAAAACCACCTTTGCGTGTCCAGCGTCGGTAGCAGAGGCGTAGCGAGGGGGTGGCGGGGGGGGGGCAGATGTCCCGGGACGCCAGCTAGTTGGGGCGCCAAAATGTGCTTTGATATTATTTTATTGATGAAAATAATTGGTGTGAGAGTTGAAAAAAAGAAAAAGGGGCGCTTTAAAATGGATCTTGTCCCCAGGCGCGAATCTTGTCCCCGGGCGCCAAACACCCTCGCTACGCCTCTGGTGGGCAGACAAGGGACATGCATGGTACCTGCCGGAATAAAAAAGCACCTACGGGGCTGCCAAATGTGACGCTTCACAGTTGGAAGTAAAGGCAGAGACATGGCAGGGATCATGATTACAAGTTGCCGTTTAATGGATATGAGGCTAGAGGCAAAGGTGGAAACCTCTAGCCCAGTGGTTCTTAACCTTGTAGGATGCACTGAACCCCACCAGTTTCATATGCGCATTCACCGAACCCTTCTTAATTGGAAAAATTAAAAAAAAAAAATTCAAATTCAAAACATAGATATATATTTTACTGGTGCACAAAATGAACCGTGCATCAACATCACTGTGTTCAAAGAACAAAACAATAATAATGAAAACATGATTTTCACACAAAAACATAATAATGAATATTTACTGCAAATCAGTGTTACTTCTGCTGTTGCCTTTCAGAGACCAGTTCAGAAATGCCCGGCTTCAGCAAGTCACACTCTCAGGTCATTTTCGTTTTTATGTCCAGCATTCTCGAAAAGGATTGCTCGCAAAGATCTGCAACAAACGGTATGAAAATCTCCAGAGATTTTTTAGCAATAACAATAACAGGGTACGTTACCGTTTGTTGACATAAACACGTTGAGAGCGTTGTTGTTATGAAGAGTTGCTGTTGAACCTGGCTCTGCTGAATTTCAATGATTTCATCGAGGTGTTCATCATTGACATATGTTGTCTCAACACTTAACGTAAACGGCTGTCTCACCCATGCTGGATATGACTCTCTTGTAGGGAAGTGTCCGTCGAGAGACTTTGCAAGCTCATCTAAGTGCGTGGAAATTGCTTGCTTCAGTTCCACGGGTACAGAAAATGTCTCCGATTCCAGATAGATCTTCGAACTTACTTACACAGTCGTTTAGTAGGGGAAAGTTAGCGAAATTATCGTTCTCTGTTCGTAGTTTCCATAACAGTAGCTTTTTTGAAAAGCCTTCAGGTTTTCTTCCGCTTCGATGATGTTGACTCCACCGCCCTGCATCTGTTGATTGAAATGATTGAAAGCTGCGAAGATATCAGCCATGTACGCTAAAATGAGAATGACCTCAGAATTTTTGAAGCTATCTGCATGACAATGTTGGTGTTCTTGCAACAACAGGGCTAATGCCACACGCACGGCAAAAACATGATTCAGCACCTGTCCCCGGGATAACCACGGAACGTTAGAATGGTACAGAAGTACCTCGAATTCAGAGCCCATTTTTTTTACACAGCTCACTGAAGATGCGGTGCCCCAGAGCACTATTTCGTACATAGTTCACGCATTCCACTACAATTTGTAATACTTCTGCCAGTTTTGGAGGCAAGGTTTTTGTTGCCAACGCAAGCCTGTGCAGAATACAATGCGTAACAATGATGTGTGGTGCATCAGCCTTCACTAGCGCACAAAAGCCAGACTTTATTATCAGCATGACTGGAGCTTCATCCGAACAAACTGCAGAAACCATATCCCACGAAAGATTGTTGTCTTTGAAGAAGTCATCCACAAGTTTCTTCACATCGGCTGCCTTAGTTGTTGTTGTAAGAGGCTTACAAAATAAAAAATCTTCCTTTATCACGTCGTCTTTCACACAGCGCACGAATACAGCAAGCTGGCTTAGATTGGAAACATCTGTGGTCTCGTCGAGTTGAAGGCTGAATACTTGAGCCAAGATGTCTTTGCTCATGTCCTCTATTCTGTCGCTGATGGTGTCATTTGCAAGAGGAATTTGGGATAACTTAACTTCAGCCGCTTTTCCCAGCATGATATTCGCCATCTTCAACACAACAGGTTTTATGAGTGTTTCACCAATGGTGTGTGGTTTGCCCTGCTTTGCGATCAGGTAAGCAACTTCGTACGATGCTGTGAGGATCGGTTTGTTGATGGGTACAAAGCCGAGAACAGGCAGAGAAGCCTTTTTATCAAATCTGGCTCTCTTCACCTTGAATTCAGCGAGCGTTGTGTTCTTGTATTTAAAATCTCCATGCAGCTTAAGGAAGTGTTCTCTTAGTTTTGACGGTGCTATACTTGAATTGCTCAACTTGGTATTGCAAATCATGCTGTGTTAGGACGCACTCCCATCACGTTCCGTTATATATGTGAATCCATATTGTACATATTCGTCCGACCACTTTCTTTTTTTGCTCGACGTAGTTAGTATGAAGGGATTAAAATAATAAGAAAGAAATCACACAACGTACCATCACGACAGTCACAAGTCGACTACTGGGCCACGATATAGAAATAAAGGTATGCTCAGTCGGTGTACGAAATTGGGTTCGCTCTGCGCATGTTCATCACAGCACGTGTATACACGATCAACGCGCGCCTGTTGACACGATTCGTGATGTATATGTGTCGTGACGTCAAGGGTTTCGCGATATAGAAATATCACGATACCGATAAGTGTCATCTCGCGCTGGCGCACTTTATTACTATGTCGTGCTGTCGCGCTCGCGCTGTCGTATTTAAACTGTCATCGGCCTCTAGTTCTATCGTCCGCACTGCAAAAAATCCGATCGCGAATCATATGAGTTGGGTGTATGTCTTGACCTCCACCGAACCCCTGAGAATCACTCACCGAACCCCTGGGGTTCGATCGAGCCCAGGTTAAGAACCTCTGCTCTAGCCAATGACTCCAACTATGCGGCACTGAGAAAGCTGCTCCTAGGCAACCGTTTCGTCTCAGCTACTTTGCAAACTAGTTGCGTGGTGGAAACCTACTGTGAAACCCTCTTAAAGGGCGTCCGACGCTTCCCCGGGATGGGTGGGGTAAGATTCAGGACGTACATTTTACCATCCAAGCTCATAAGAAAGTCGATCGTGTGCACTGTGTGCAAGCACAGTGTCGGACCAACCGGGTGTCCTTGGGTTGGGGCGGAACCCAATCGAGTTGACTCGGGTGGGGGGGTCTAGCAAAGGGACATCACCAACGTGCCGCTTCGAGGCCCGATACCGGGCTTAGGGGATGCGCTTTGGGGAGGGCATAAGGAGCATTTTTTAATGTGATATTTCAGTAGCATAATAATGAATATCAAATTGCCGACAGACAGACAGACAGAGTTTTACTTCTGGTAGACGATAGAGAACCAAACACTGAATATCGCTGAAAATAAACCAAAAGTTAGCTGTTTTGTTTCAGCCGAAACCGAAAAATAAACCGAAAGCGATAAAATGGCAACTTTTGGCGCCGAAACTGAAGCCGAAATTCGGCCAGTCTCTAGTATGGATATTATAATTGTGTAAGCTGTGTAAATATATTGCACAATTGCAATATTCTAGGTGTGAGTGTTGTTTTGTTTTCTAAAGCTACGTGGTAATGAAATTATTTATGTGTTTTTGTTTTGTTTGTCACCCCCCCCCGTTACTATTCTTTCTATTTTCTTTCTTTATTTATAAAGTTAATTACGCACGTCATTTTATAATGATATAAGATTAGGGGTAGAGGTTTATTATGGTGTGAGCGAATAACGAAAAGGGTAAGACATTTGGTTAGGTCCGAAGGGAAGGGTGACATTAAGAATTAGGGTTAGGGAGTTGGGAATGTGTGAGGGCTGATGGGGACCTGTTTAGCGGAGCATGTTGATGAGGATGTGGTAACCGTTAAACTGGGGTAACTGGCCACCTCTTAAGGTGAATGATACCGACTGGCGGCGCGGAATTACTTAATTAAAGGCGTGAGCATGTTTTCTAAGTCTGGGATTCCCATCATCTTCAGTAAATGTCATAATGTAAGCTAATATATTTTAATATTTCAAGCGCGTGTTCTTTTTTTTTAAAAATGATGCTATTTCATTTGCGACTGCTGAATTATGTATCCAGTTAAATTATCTGAAGTGAGAGGGAACATTGTTTTACTTTTGCTTTCTTATTTTTGGACATTCAAAATTATTTTGAATATGCTTATGTTAATTTCTTATGTCTTTTTAGCGCTTTTTGTAAATACAGAGTTTTCACTACATGTAAGTAGCATCAATAAATTATGCATTATACACATGTGGTCAATTTATTTTAAAATAAGTTTATGTATATTTAAGATTTCTCCATTTTGCTATCTCACTCAAATACCCTGTTGGGCATCTGAGAACTGTAAAATGATTAAATGCCAACTCTAATGATTTCGGATGGGTCCTCGTTCTTTATGCGTTATTGTGTAGATATTATAACATATATTTAATATTATAGATCTGACAACATAAACACCACAATGTTAAATATATGTACTGCTTGGCTGTTTAGCTTGACATGTATCTGGCATTCTTTTGGCGGGAATTAGCCCCAATGTGGCAGGTCTACAACGTTATGAAACTTGTCTCTAAAAGAGTTGTTTGTTGCAGGCGACTCGTTAGCGCTAACTCTATCTTTCACATTTACAGCAAAATGGATTTTATGCTTTAAATTATCAAGAAAGTTGTTTGTAAGTTATTTCATCATTTCTCTATAAAATAAAAGCAGGGCTATTTGAAATCCGTAGTGTAATAATCATAAAATGAATGATGCAGGACCAGCATTCGTTCAGTCAGTGTGCTGCAGTGTGCATGTTTTAGATAGAATCTGATGTGGGCTGGTCGCGGGGACACCTGGAGAAATATGATTGAGGGCAATGATTGGTTTGGGACCATCCATAAATACTATAATTATAACGGAGTGGTGTTAGTGTATAAAATAACACTCTGCAACATTGTCGTAATGATAGTCAGTAATTGTGAAATTTTTGCCTTGAGTTTTCATAATGACAAATGAACTTACCTTACCAGACATGGCAAAAGTAATATCAGCGTAGGCGTATTCGCCCTAGGGACAATTTAAGTCATTCCGGGGGCCATCCATATACTATACTATACTATACTATTATTTAGTTATAGTAGGTACGATGAGGGGGGGGGGGGAGAGGGTTTGTCGATTTTTTTTTAGGGGGGGGGGGGTCTCACAGCGGAAAGTGCATAATTAAAAAATACTTCAATATTAATCCTGAAAGTACAAAAATAGCATATTAACATATTTCCATAGAGAGGGTTTGTCGATTTTTTTTTAGGGGTGGGGGGGTCTCACAGCAGAAAGTGCATAATTAAAAAATACTTCAATATTAATCCTGAAAGTACAAAAATAGCATATTAACATATTTCCATCTCAAATGCTGTAAAAATATCATGCAATGTTTTGTAGGAATTATCTTCATAATGTTGCCATGAAAATTCAGAAATGAACTTGCTCGATATAGGCCTATTATTCAGAAAGTAGTGGAGGCATTACAGTAATATTTAGTCCACCATATGTTCAACGTCGATGCAACACATATTTTGTTTGCAGAGGTCAATGCCAAACTGAAATTTTCACTAGGCTCCCTTTGTTAAAGGGACGCGTTATCCACACAGCTCTGTGAATAATGTTGAGCGTTATCGGCAGACCGAGATCTGCGAATAACGCCGAGCGTTATTGGCTCGGTAGACCAAAATCTGCGAATAATGCAGAGTGTTATTGTTAGACAGAAATGTTCTCATAATGACGCACATTTCTAGAAATAATTAAGATCACATTCCAAGCCGGGGTAGGGGTGTAGTTTTAAGTAGTGTAAGATAGATAGATCGTTAATGAGAATGGCACAAACACATCTCAAAACCGAAGCTACCGGTATGCACAAGTTAAATTAAACAAATTTAATAGGCCTAACTATAGCCTATATATTGGATATAGGACAATTAATTGTGCCTACATCTGCTCTGTTAGGGGCCAACACATTCGACCTATAATAGAGTGTTACTAATAGATCCAGTCAAACCTCCTACTCCTAGACATAGCTAATTTTCTGGTATTTCATATTAAATGTTATACCAGTAATAAAAATGGTACCGGTATTCTTCATGTAGACTCACTTTCACCCATTGTAGAGATGTCTTTAAATGATGTCAAAGCTTGATAGGATATCGTTTAGTTATTTTAAAGCACTATGATATATCACGTAGTCCAGAAATGTTCTGTCAGAAATAGTTGACATGCCGTGCAACAGTGTTATGATGCAGAGAGGTGTCTCCATCAGGCGGCCATGTGAGAGACGGGGAGGGGCATATAGGCCCTACATCGATAATAACAGAATCTAATCCTGTTTAAGGCTAGTATTTTTTCCTGATCCTTGAGGGTGTCCCTAAGTCTACCCAGCTCTGGCCTTAGCTGGGGAAAAGTAAAGCTGGCTGGTTATTGCGCTGGCCATACACTCACACTTGTAAACGCTGCTTCAATTGCCCCAAGGGAACTTTACTTCCCAAAGACTCGCAATGCATCCTACGACCAGCAGGGTTCCAATTAATTTTTGTATGCTTTTTTTGTATTTAGACCCATAGTTACAACAGTGGCAGTATGGCTTTTTGTTTCAATTATCAACATTTTTTTTGACAAGAGCTAAAATTGTTGATGTCAATGATATTGATATGTTTTAAGTACGGTACCGGTATGTTCCTTTCATTGTCATCACTAAATGTTATTTCATCTATTTCTGGAGCGGCATATTGTGTCCCTACTTATTATGATACTTATTAGAAAATAAAATGAAACAAATAAAACGTGACATATTTTTTCAGCTAAACATTAATACACAACTCTGAGATCTAAAATATTTGAATAAGTAAGTTATTAATAATTATTTGTTTATTAGAGAAAAAACAAATGGATGTTAAAGTCTATGAGTGGAATTATACAAAGAAAATTAAACAGTCAAAAGAGCTAAAAGTATATCACAATGTACAGTTAGAACAGCTGTATCTGACTTAAACATGGTTTATGCGGCTCATCTTCGTGTCCATGTTATTTACATTTTTTTAACGAAACTTGAATGAACATTCTAACAAAATAGATTGAAACTTGTAACGTAAGTAACAAAACTATATGAAAATAATAATAAAACTATGTGAACAGAATAAGAAAGCTATATGAAGAATATTATTATAATATAACACTACGAAATAACCATTAAATATTTTAAAATTTTTTTTATTTACGGTATAAAAATGAGACGGGGAATCGAATCTATGTCTGCCGGGTGTCGGGCGGAGATACTGACCACTACACTACCGAGGAGATGTTTGCATACGAACTTTGTATTTTATATTCATAATTTAATTTATCACATTCTGCGAATAATGTCGAGCGTTATCGGCAGACCGAAATCCGTGAATAACGGCGAGCGTTATCCGCTCAGCTCTGTGAATAATCACTTCGTTTGTTAAATTCCAACAAGTAGCCTACACTTCGAAATAGCGAATACATAAAAGAAAATGGGGTTGGGTAAAAATAAATACAACACCTATGTAGGTCACTAAGCGCCATCGAGTAACTGCTAACAGTAGTTACTCAAGTGGGTTACTGTTTGCACTAGGAACGCTAGATGTCACATTGGATTAAAATGATGTCTTGTAATATTTTTCAATGCCATCGTAGTAACCCTTATAGAAAAATATCCCCAGCACCACAATGAAAACCGGTGACACATTTTATTGCCTGTAAAATCATAATTGTAAAATATTGTTTGATTTTTTTTCTCTTATTTTTCGCGTGTTGGGGGGGGGGGATTACAGTGGCTTCATTTAAATTTCAAATTATTCTGTACTAGTACGTTATAATTGTATTATATTTTATAGCTATTGAAACAAGTGATTTAAGGTGATATGGGGGCTTTAAAAATACATTGATGCAACGGAGGAGAGGGGATGTGTGAAAATGTCTTTTTCTCTTAAGTAATGCTTAATGTATAGATTTTTTAAAAATCGTCAATTGCATGTAACAGTAGTTCTTATATGTGGTTACAAGTACCAGCAAATTAATGTCGTCTTTGAATATTTAAAAAATTGCCCTCCACTAAGCAGATCAGCAGTTTATTTGCAATTAATTAATTTATTCTCTAATAGATCATCAACATGAGTGAAGTTTACCCAGCAGAACCATCAAGCGGCTCACCTTCAAAGCCAGACAATGTTAGGCTTGTTCCTGATATTCCAGAAGAAGAGGCTTCAAGTGCTTTGATTGAAGATGAAGAAATATCTGATTTTGATTGCACAGGTCCTTCCCCGAACATTAATAGCAATAATAATGTAAACGATGACATGGTTGATCCAAGTAAGATTATCACAGATGAAATGCTTCAAGAAGAAATGCGTTTGTACTCCTCCGGTTCTAAGGAAGAAGAGAAAAGATTGGAGGAGGAGGCAAGGCTTATTGAAGAAATGACAGATCAGTCTCGAGATTTAAAGTACGAGCGCCTGAAATTTCTTTTAAGTAAGAGCACCATGTATACTGAGTACTTAGTAGGGCGTATCAAGGTTCAGAAAGAGGAGGAGGAAAAGAGAAAAGCACGGATGCAGAAGATGAAGCTGAAGAAAGAAGAGCAAGAAAAGGACTTAGCAAGGAATCATGAAAGTGTTACAGCCAAAGAGAAGGCAGGCATAAATAATACACAGGGAAACTCAAGGCAAAAACGAGGAATCAATAAAAGGAATGATGACGACAAAGGTGATCCCCCCACTAAGTCTAAACGTCAAAAGAAAAATGCAACATCACCTTCAGGCAATGCCCAAAGCTCAGGAGGACAAGAGGGTAGTTGTATGTACCTTGATGACAAAAAGGCTCCAGCCGATAATAATTGTGCATTAAAGACAGATGAAGAGCGAACAGCTCTTGAGGAGCCTGAACTTAAAGAAAAGGCTTTAACATTTGGTATTGATGAAGTGGAAGAAAAACGAGTGATCAATGGAGAGGAGGTTTCCTTCCTTCAGCCTAAACTAATGGAGGGTGGGGTGTTAAGACCATATCAGATAGAAGGATACAGTTGGTTAAAAGTCTTATATGAAAATGGGGTCAATGGAATTCTAGCTGATGAGATGGGCTTGGGAAAAACAGTTCAATGTGTTGCTATTCTGTCCCATCTGATATATATGGGAATCGCTGGACCCTTTTTAATATGTGCACCCTTGTCCACAATTCCTAACTGGTTTGCTGAATTCCAACGATTTGCACCAAAAGTACCCACACTTCTTTACCATGGTACAAAAGACAGTCGTACTCAACTCAGAAAAACCATGCACCGCAGATTTAAAATAAGAGAAGGTGTCTTTGTTCAGCCAGTAGTCATCACATCATATGAAATGGTAATGATTGACCGAAAGACACTGGCCAATTATGACTGGAAGTATCTCATTGTTGATGAAGGTCATCGAATTAAAAACACTCAGTGTCGGCTCATCCGAGATCTGCGGATGTATAGATCAACACATCGACTTTTACTGACGGGCACCCCGTTGCAAAACAATCTTTCAGAGCTTTGGTCCTTGCTTAACTTCCTTCTCCCTGAAATCTTTGATGATTTAGGTAGTTTTGAATCATGGTTTGACATAAATTTTATCAACGGCGTCGAGTCAAATGAGAAAATTGTCCACCAAGAGCAATCCAACAACATTCTAAGCATGCTGCATCAGATTTTATCACCTTTCATGTTGCGGCGCCTTAAGTCTGATGTTGATCTAAAGATTCCGCCCAAGAAGGAGATCATCGTGTACGCTCCTTTGACACAACTGCAGAAAGATTTCTACACTGCTGTAGTTGACAAGAGCATCTTCAGTTACATTGAAAAGGATGATGTCGTAGAAGAAGAAAAAGTAGAGAAAAATTTAAGCGGAAGGCCCAAGCGTAGCACATGCAGAAAGGTCAATTACGAGTTAATGATGGAGTCTGAGATAAAGAAATCTAATGTTTCAAGTCATGCCAATAAAAGAGGAGTGAAAGGTGTTGAGGAAGATTTGGAGCGGGAAGAAATGGAGCTAGAGAGTTGGGTCTACTCTATGAATGACAACTTCTCTTCCACTACCAAGTAGGTCTATGAGTGGTATTAAATATGTGATAATTGTGTTATATAATTTGTGTGTAAATTTAAAGAAAGAAAAAATGAATATTATCAATTAGGGGTGTGCCGGATCCGTTTTTTCCAACAGGATCCGGATTTTCTTATGCGAAATCCGCCGGATTCGGATCCGGATTCAGGTTTCTCCCGGATTCTGGATTTTGGTACTTTGCAGATACCGCTAAATCTGAGGGGTTGGATGCCTTCTGAACAGTTGGCACTATCATGTATGGGATTGGGCCGATTGGCCACTATTAGCGGTGCTGACTCTAGCCTCTGGTATGTTCGGAATATTAAACATTAAACAAGCTCAACGCTCGAAACAATCGATTAATGCATCGTGATCGTGTGGAATTCGGGAAAGAGAATTACTTTTATTTCAGATTATGATCCGGCAGACCTGTTTACCCTCAAACCCCTAAAATCGTACAATCTGGTCTCAAAATCGTACAATACAATATCTCTATAGTAAATAAATAAAACTACAAAATATTTCCATATATTGTGTAAATGTCGCTGACTGGATCTTATAAAATACCGGTATGCCAAAATCCAACGCTCCACTGCAGAACAGTCGGATCATCTATTTTATTTTAAAAACCATCTCTATTTTTACAATCGCCGCGGTTCTGAGGAACAAAATAATTATGTACCAAAACTACGTCACACGCTTGGTAGCAGTCAAAGGCGATGGCGGGTGAAGTTGTCACTAGGGCGACCAATCCAAATATTACTGTTGACGCAGCAGCCAGCTAGTTCACTGTGATCCCGTCAATACGATACGTCGGGGTTATTTATTTATATCCTTTGACACTCCCACCAATCCCCTACCCATGCGTGTCTCGTATGCCACAATTTCCGTCATCAACAACCCCACCTCCCCCAGTCCCCATGAGTGCTTTCGAAATATAATAAGGATGGTCCCAACTTTAAAAAAAAAAAAAATCCAACCAATCGTTTTTCTCGTTCATATTCACTGCCAGATCTTCATTAATGAGGGCTAAAACGTCCAAACCCGAAAATTTATTAATGTTTTTAAATCGGGGGAAAATTTTTTCCACCGGGTCTCTGAAAATCGTCGTTTTGGTGGGCCTTGGCGTTCAATCGTAAAAGACATCTAAAAATCGTACATTGTACGCCAAAATCGTAAGAGTAAACAGGTCTGGATCCGGTGAGTCACAAAATCTGGCAAATTCCGAAATCCGGTATATTCCGGATTCCGGTTGTTCCGGATACATGTAAATCCGGCGGTACCGGATTTCACCGGATAGTGCAAAATCCGGCGGAACCGGATTCCGGCACACCCCTATTATCAATGTTCTTTAAAGATTTTGCAACGTGACATGAAATAAGATCGCCTTAAATATTCATTTGATTAAAATTTTGAATGATTACCAAATGTATTTGGGTGATTGTCTATGTTCAATTCCTCAAGGGACAAGGTTATAAAACAAAAGACCTCTCAGACCTCCATCAAATTGAGAAATATAATGATGCAACTGCGGAAAGTCTGCAATCATCCTTATCTTTTGGAGCACCCTCTAGACCCAAAGACGGGAGATCTTGCAATTACAGAAAGCTTAGTGAAAGAGTCTGGGAAAATGCTAATCTTGGACCGTATGTTAAAAGAATTGAAAAAAAGGGGACACAAGGTAGGTAGCAATCATGTTTTCATTATATAACATTAATTCTCTCTTTAAAAAAAAAAAATTATAAATAAACATGTTTACAATAATATGTTAAAAAATGCATTTTATCTCACTTTTAGGTCCTTATATTCAGTCAGATGACTAGAATGCTTGACTTAATAGAAGACTTTTGCTACTTGAGAGGCTATGACTTCTGCAGGCTCGATGGCTCAACACTTTTAGATGACCGCAAAGATGGTGTAAGTAAAATATATTTTTATTCTGATTGTGTTATTTCTATTGGTTAATTTTAATTATTTTACTGCAATGTACCTGGGATGTAAGATAAACAAGAGTAGATATGGGACAAAGATATAGAGGGAAAAACTGAAGAAAGGAAATTTCTAAATTTTAGAATATCTATCCACAAGAGTTAATGAAAGAACAGTGCAATATACGAGAGAAATGTAACTTCCCAACAATGCAAAAGACACAAGGAGAGAAGTGTAACTTCCCAACATTGCAATAGACACAAGGAGAGAAATGTAACTTCCAGCAAGAATCACACCATCATCACGTTGGGACCAACTAATGGCAAATTCAGGCTAAAAAATATCTAGGAATCACAGAATCTGCATAGAGATAGTTGACCTGACAATGCCACATACCCTGAAGGAGATACCGGGACACAGAATGGATTTCAAATATCTCAAATTAAGTGATCTGACAAGGAATTCAATTACAATGGATGAAAGAACTGAATGAGGAGGGTCAGCAGAATTTAATCATGACCCAGTGGAGACTTTCAATAGCATTCTTTGGCCATTGCCTCAAGCACCAGCTTTCACACTCAGGACACTGGGACTGAATGAAGAACATTTGATGTTCAAAGTGCTTACTTTGTACCTTGAGGACTGCTTTAGTATGAAATATTATTGTATTTCTTCAATGATCATTACTCCTGGCATTTCTTGCATACTTTTCCCATGATTATTGACCTTTTTAAAGACTTTCTTGGGGAATGTCTGTAACTTTGTGGCATACTTTTTTTTTGTTGTACCTCGCTCGGTTGATAGCCTGAAAGGTCGATCTGACATCTTGACACAGTGTTTCAGCTCCTGTATGCTGGGTGGAGGGAGGGGTGGTTGGGATGGTGAGCAATGAGGGTAAATAAGAAGAGGTGATTATACACACAAAAAAAACCCACCCTCCATGCCTCTAAAAAAAAGCACCCTACATGCCTCTTCAAAAAAAAACCCACCCTACATGCTTCTAAAAAAAAAAAACACCTTTCATACCTCATCGGTCCAAACTGTTGGATTTTGGGATGGGTAAGAGCAGGGCATTTCAGCAATTAGACTCAGATAAACGGACGTCAAGCGGCCAAGATTTTTAACTCTTTCTCTCCGGAACAACGCTCCCATCGTCAATTTGAAATGAAGATTTTGGTGTATCAATGATGCCATCATTGATGCATTAAAACAAATTTGTTTCGTTTCTATTGTTAAATATTTGTTTTTAATTACTTTTAATAAAATCTAGAATGATTTCCCTTTCTTTCAACATCTGGTATTTCCTTTTTAAAACTTGATTTAACGAAGAAAGAAGTGTTTCAAACAGTTGTGATTGTCAACTTTATTTCTGTTAACAAACATGAAATCTAGGCCTGGATCCTCTAGCGGTAAAGTTAGAAAATATTACACTGAGGAACAAGCAAGGGGAATTGTTTTTGAAGAGGATTCAGATAGTGATTTTATCATTTCTTATGCAGGTGATGATTCTGATGAATCGTACAACCCTAGTACTAGTAGTATTAGTGGGGATAGTGACAATGAAATTGATACTGTATCAGCTGATGAACAAGCAGCCCCTCCCCCAGCTAAAGTGCCTTGTAGAAAAGCAAAGATTGTTCTTAAAATGAACAATGGATTTTCAAACTGGAAATCTGCTGACCCGCACATTATTGACAAGCTTGTGCTGTCAATAAATGAGTATGCTGCCTACAAAATAAAAATTAACACCCCCAACACTCAAAAGATCTTTTTTTAATGGCTGGAAACCTGTAAATAATTTTGAGATCTACAAATTTTTAGCAGTTACTACAATGATGGGGATGAACCCTCGTCCATGTGTACGTGACTTTTGGTCTACACATCAAGGGATGTATACACCCTGGTTTGCCAAAATGTTTAAGCAAGAACGATTTGAAGCATTGTATCACTCTTGTCTGCATGCCTCTGAAGTTGATGCAGAAAATAAGTGCAAAATTGAGCCTTTCATAAACTCATTGATAGCCAATTTTTCCAGAGCATTCACGCCACACCAGCAGGTATCAATTGATGAAATGATAGTAGGTTTTAAAGGAAGATGGGCCTATAAACAATTTAATCAGTCAAAACCTCACAAGTACCACATCAAGAGTTTTGATCTTGTTGACAGTGCAACAGGATATGTTTGTAATATCCTAACCTATTATGGCTCAAACACATCGTAACACCCTTCACTGGCTAAAGACAACGGCATAGCCATAAAAAATATTTGGAACATTGCTAAAAGAAATTGGCAGTGGATACCACATCTTTGCTGACAGATGGTATACTACAAAAGCATTGTTGGACTTCCTTCAAAAGGAACACTTTTACTTACTTTACTGGTACTGTTCAGACAAACAGAATAGGATTCCTGATAGAAATAAAGAATCCGAAGATTGCACACATGCAAACAAAATACTGGGTACACAATGACAAGACTTTGCTGTGTATGGCCTTCAAAGATAAAAAAGCCAAAAAACCTGTTATTATTGTATCCAGTAATACAACTGCAGAGAATGTTTTGGTAAAACAGACGTTAAAACGCATAGCTGTGCATGAATACAACCAGTTCATGAATGGTTGCGACCGAGCTGACCAACTTCTGGGATACTATGGCCATCACAGTAGGAAGTCAAATAAGTGGTGGAAAAAGTTATTTTTCTGGAGCATTGAGATCTGCACCATAAATGCCTTTATTCTTCATAAACTCACATGGCCAAAGATCAGAAAAACTCTAGTAAAATAACCCTGAGAAATTTCAAGCTACAACTTGTTGATAAATTATCGGAATATGCTGCAACCATAATTCCAGAGGAAGAAGTTTTCTGAAGTACTAGACCAGGCAGTAGACGTCCCTGTGCCATCGAGAGACTTAGTGGAGCCAAACATGCGCCTTTTAACTCCAAAAAGGACAGAGTGTGCAAACAATGCAGAACAGGGCGAACTGTTTACATTTGTACTGGATGCGATTGAAATCTGCACATCCATTTGGATTGTTTTAAAGCTTATCATAGCTAAAACAAAATGAAAATATATGACAAATTTATGGTGTATTTTTTATGGACCATAACACATATAAATACAAACAAGGATAGAGCGAAAATATTTTATAGTAGCGTCAAAATGTTTTCAATGCAAACAGTTGTTTTTTTTTCTGAAAATTTTTATGTATATGTGACAATGGATAATGCGCTCTGGTCTTTCATTTTGTGTTTCTTATAATGTGATGATTATTCTTTGTGATGAACATATGAATGTAGTTTAGAAAAAAGTATATATTGTGACACTTTGGATTGTAAATTTCTCTTTGACTGACTTGGAATGAGCGTTAAGCGAAAATTTGTTAAGATTTTTTTAAAAATATTTTTTTTATGTTCATTAAATAAAAATCAAATTTATTTATTAAAACTTAAAGCTAAGTCTGTATTGTCTGTAAACAGCATGCTTTCCCCTTTATAATTCCATACCAAACTTAGCACTTTCTGATGAAAAACAAAAAAGTTATGAAGGTTTAAGAGACAACATAGTAGTGCGTAACAAAATCGCAAAATAGATAATTATGTCAGAACGTGGAAAATAATTTCGGAGAGAAAGTTAAATTCTAGTTTTGAGTTTATTCCTTGGTAAAGGGTTAAACCACTTTAATTTAACCATGATTTTGTAAGCATTTGTGGTTTTTTTTTAAATTTCTCTTGTTAATAATTAAAGATTATCTTTATCATACTTGCGTGTAGAAAATTAAAAAAAAGTATGCAAAATAATTATTTTAAAGATGAGTTTGAACACTAAAAAACAGAAAGTAACTTTAAATTTCTTAAAATGCATTAAAAGGAAGTATGTGCAGAAAATATTTTCAAAAACTAACCCTAAAAAAAACATCAACGATTTTTCTACATTTAAATTCCATACTTTCGTCTTCATAAAGTGTTTTACTACCTTTCTGCTCAGACTTTCTTTTTGAAATGCATTTGTTTAAAAAAAAAAATTTTTTTAAAAGTTATTTTCTAGTTTTAGGTGTGTTTAAACTTGTGTTAAAAAGGAAGTCTTAGTTTAAAAGTTTTTTATATACTTTTATACTCAACATTCACTTTTGGATTGGCCTAGTTATTAAAATATAATTGAATGTATGATCTTATAACATATTTTCTTTGTTTTCAATACAGATGACCGCGTTCAATGATGCTAGTTGCAAAAAATTTCTCTTTCTACTGAGTACCAGAGCTGGTGGTCTTGGTATCAACCTAATAGGGGCAGACACAGTCATCCTCTATGACAGTGACTGGGTAAGTATCAACCTAATAGGGGCAGACACAGTCATCCTCTAAGACAGTGACTGGGTAAGCATCAACCTGATAGGGGCAGACACAGTCATCCTCTATGACAGTGACTGGGTAAGTATCAACCTGATAGGGGCAAAGTCATCCCATGACAGTGACTGGGTAAGTATCAACCTGATGGGGCAAACACAGTCATCCTTCATGACAGTGACTGGGTAAGTAACAATCTAATAGGGGCAGACACAGTCATCCTCTATGACAGTGACTGGGTAAGTATTAACCAGATGGGGCAGACACAGTCATCCTCTATGACAGTGACTGGGTAAGTTCTTTCAAAATATGGTAATACAACTAATTGTATTGATATATTTAAAGTAAGAAATTTGTAGATAGGAATTCTGATACCAGCCTTAAACAGTTTCTTTGATGATGAAAAATAGAAAGCACACATTTATAATGGTTCCTGTTGTGTAAGTTTTTACAGATAGCTTAGAATTCACTAACATAATTTTGTTTAAAAATTATAATTCTATATTAATGGTCTGGTTATCACGAGTGGCCAAATGTATCACAGGTAATATTTCAATTAATTTATTAGTTTCTGTATTCTACGAAGAATGTGGTTTAAATTCTCCAGTCCAGTATGTTTTTCTATCCCCCCCCCAGAATCCTCAATGTGATCTTCAAGCTCAAGACCGTTGTCATCGTATTGGTCAGACTAAGCCTGTTGTTGTGTATCGCTTTGTGGCAGCTAACACTATTGATCAGAAGATAATAGAAAGAGCTTCTGCAAAAAGGAAACTGGAGAAAATGGTCATTCACAAAGGTTAGTTTTAGGAAGATATTTGCATTATGTTTGGTATCAATTATCGCCAAATTTAAATAAATCTTTTTATAACTTGAACTTAATTTCAGTAAGAGGGTAATAAGGGTAATAAGACTGCAATTATGTTAGCACAATAGGAAATTAGTAAAACAAAATAAGGTTAAACCTGAAAAAAGTAACGCAACAAAACAACGAACGTGTCGGCAGGAAGCCTACGTCGGTGAACAAACATAAAAATCAGAATAAAATTAAAAAATAGCACTTGGCTGGGAAGTAGTATCCAAGAGGGCAGCAAATGAATTGTGCTGCCCTCTTGGATACTACTTCTCAGCTAAGTGCTATTTTTTCAGGTTTAGCCTTAATTTGTTTGACAAATTTCCTGTTAATTTCAGTAAGCTTGGATATGTTTGAATGTCAAGTCAAAGTTACGTAGAAGCTACCTTACTTATTTGAGGAACCAGATTCTGCATCTCATCTCTAGGAAAGTTCAAAAAGGGAAACTTCATGTCAAAATCAAAGCCAATTAGCTCTGAGGAGTTGCGAGATTTGTTGCAGTCTAAAGATCATGATGTAGAAGTACATGGAACAGATTTTGTCATCAATGATGCTGATTTAGAATCTCTCCTTGATAGATCGGATCTGTATGAGAAATGGCAGATGAGTATGTTTGCTTTTTATTTTATAAAATTTTTTAGTGTGCTTTAAAACAAAAAGTAATGTCATAAAATGTTTCGAAACTCAAACAGTGCTTAAACTTGGCAAATGATAATTAGTCCAAGATGAATAAGTATCAATTCATTAATGTAGTTAATAACACTATTTATGTAGCACAGCATATCATGTCTGCAAATTTTTATAGGGAAATTCACAGATAATAAAAATGATCAGTAAAATTGATCTTTAAAACAATTGAGGGCTTGCAGTTCTAGGATCATATTCCCTTTGAATTTAATCGATTTTTATAATCCTCGATCCCTTATCTTTGTGGCTGAAATACCAAATACCGGGGTAACTTGCAATTTTAAAATTAATTTTATTAATTTGTAGGTTTAGGAACTTCAAATGAACAAAAAAGAGATGAGATTTCATTACCTTCCACAAAACCTAAAACTAAGTCTAAAAAAGGAAAAGGGAAGAAAGCAGCAACCATCAACTGCCAGAACAAACTGTTTAAGGTATGTATTGATTAATGTTACAAATATCATTGTTATGAAAAGCTTCAAATAGTTATGCAGTCAATCGCTATAAGTTTACAGGCTTTATTCGTCATGAGAGCCTGTCTAACCATGGAATTCAATCAAAATACATAATTCTCTATGTAACAATGTTATTAACACTACTAGATAGCGCAAATTCTTAAAAATAGTGTAATATTTTCTTTTGTTTTACAGAAAAAGTGGGTGGGACATTAGAATATCACTATAGTTCATGGGCAGTGGCGTAGATAGATCACTATAGTTCATGGGCAGTGGCGTAGATAGATCACTATAGTTCATGGGCAGTGGCGTAGATAGCACTAATTGGGAATTTTCTCCAGAGTTTCTGCACCAAATTTATTTTTAAAAAATCCAGGACTTTTCCAGGAGAAAATAAAAAATTCCAGAACATTTTTAAAAAGTATTTTTAAATAATATTTTTTGTAGTAAATGTACATAAATGCAATTGTATAGTACTTACTTCAAGGACCGGTAATGTAATTATTTGATTTAATGATGTAAATTATAAAATGTGTTATTTGAATGCATGATTTGACAAATAACTTAAGTAGATGGCAAGTACACGCATTGTGGCTACCATTGTTTTTTGGTTAGTAGTTGTTAGAATATTATTTTCTTTGAAGTATTTTAAGAAAATCTCAAACTTGGTGAAAAGTTCAATTCAATGAGAGTTTTATTGTAATGAAAATGGTATGTGAGGTAATAGTTTTGAAGAAACACGTAAAATGTTCATGAAGAAGATTGGTAGCTTCGTCAAATTTTACATTACTGATTAAAGTATCACAGACTCCTCATCCCTTCTGTACAAGTTATTGGAACTTAATTAATGATGAAAAAGGAAAAGCTATAATTTGTCATACCCGGTATTGTTATGTTTAGTGAACATTTTCTCTTTTTTTCCTAGGTGGTTGAAATTGAAGATAAAGAATTGGTCACTGAGACCAGTGACTTAAATGAAAATGTTGAGCTAGAGAAAACTGCAAGGGCCATCAGCGAATAAGGCGTTCAAGTTTGTTCTGTGCAAATAGCTTTTACATGTGTGTTGAATTTAATCAGTTTTGCTTTTTGAAAAAATGTATAAATTGTTCTATCTCTTTTTTAACTAGTTTTTTTTCTTTCTTTCTTTTATCATTGAGTTCATTTATTTAGTGTTGGTATTAAATCATGAAGTTTGTGTTTACTTTTTATTTTTGACATTTTTATCCATGACAAATACCGGTAATTTGTATATAAATGTTTATTGGACTTGTGATCTGAAATTCAGTGAATTATGAAGTTTAAAATTTGAAATATATATATATTATATATAGATAGCAGAAGATAGATATTATACACACACTTGCATGTTAATTTCATTTTATCCACTTCTTTATCTTACATTTTATTAGTAAAATTTCAATTAGTATTAGTAACTAATTTTTTTAAACCAAGGCTTACATTTTCTGACATGTTTTAATCTTTTCAGTTAGAATCATTTACTAACACATTGGTCCCTTGGCTTATGGTCCTAGAATAGCCATGCTGCTGGGGAAAACTAACAAATTCCATGATTATAAAATTATATGAATTTGATTGATTTCTATATAAATTTGTCTGGTAGTTGTCTCTTACTATCATTATAGGCTGACAAATTGAGCAACTCTCCCTCACTTTAAACAATAAGGACAACTTCGCGTGTGAAGGACGAACAACTTTAGTTTGGATGTGTAGTCTGGATTACTATAGGTGTCAAATTGCATAGTAGACTCACTTTCACGCCCCTCATTTTCATAAAAACCTGGACTAGGACTAAAGACCGTGTTGCTTTTTTATTTTCGATGCTTTAGAATAGCACATATAAACATAGAAAACATGACTAAAACATAACAATTACAGTGCATTCATGGACACGGCCATTAATGTGACCTTTCGTAAGTTACTTGACCTCAGTATTTACAATACATTTTTATTTAGGTACTGTCGATCTAGGGCAGTGGCTCTCAACCTTCCTAATGCCGCGACCCTTTAATACAGTTCCTCATGTTGGCGATCCCCAACCATAACAGTATTTTTGTTTCTTCTTCATAAATATGTTTTCCTATGGTCTTATGCGACCCCTATGTGATGATCGTTTGACCCCAGAAGGGGTCGCTACCCACGGGTTGAGAACCGCTGATCTAGGGTTAGTTATGGGAGACCAAATATCTGGTCTGGGAGGTTTGGATTTTTAACTAGGACTACTGCAGAGTTTGACAAACTGCATATTTTATAGCTTAAAAAAACCAATGTATTCAATATGAATGTTGACTATGATTCCTCTTATGAATGACTTGGAACTTCAGTTCATTTGTAACTGCACCCTTGAGTACGGGGTATTGCAAATTTAATTATGTTTGTAAACTGACTCAACTCAATTAATAATAAAGCTTTTGGCTGTCAACATGTAATTAGTTGAAATTGTTTTTTTTAAATGACTGAAATCATATTGTTTGGTCAAATGTTAAATAAATGCTACTAAAAAAAAGTAATAAAGTTTGTTTACTTTTAAATTAGTCTTAATTTTTTATTTATTTTTTTTGTAGGGACAGGGAATTTTTAACCCATGCCTAATTGGCTGCTGATTCCCTCTTTTCAAAACCATAAGAAAAACTCTCTTGCATGACTGACAAGTCCATTATCACCCATATTTTCCCCATAGAATAGAAAGTGAACTGGATGCATCTTGTTAGCTGATTTTATAAGTAGAGTGTTGCTAAAGGATAAAGGAAAGACATACCAGTAATAATAGTAGGTTTAGCTGTTCACCATTTCATCAGCTGTTATTGAAGAGGGAAAAAGCCCACTAAATGTTTCGTGTTCATTGAATTTCAAAGGTGGAAGTAGAAAACATTTTCAGTTTGTTCTGAATATTTAATTGTAAATTACTATTATTTGTACTTGGATGAACTTGGGAATATAAATATAAGTTTACTTTTAATAGATTAAGAAAATCAATAGTAAGTTTTAAAAAATTAAGAGTCCAGATAGGAACTCTCAGAGCAAGGATAGCAGAACAATTTATTGTCCACCAGGTTGCAGTGTCTATATCCAGTGGAGTAGCTAGGGGGGTGCGGACCGCACTGGGTGACACCATCTCAGGGGTTGACACCAAATTGAAAAATTGCACATTTACAGAGCCCAGCTACTTGGTCTAACCGAAATTTTAAAAAATGATAACCGATCAGAGGCACATTTTCCACACATGTAACCAATCCAAATGAGTGCTTTATTAAAAGTTAAAGGTTGATGCGTCAGCAATGAGGTGACCCTAGGTCAGAAAAAACACTGTTGACCATGATTCAAAGCCTAATGAAGTGTTCAGTAACTTTCGTAAATGACACTCTTGCCTAAAATGTTTCATGTGTTACAACTTTCAGTACTTTTGAGAGGATACTTTCCTTCTTTTAGCATCCACTCATCGATGGCATGTTTTAATTGAACACACTGGAATGTCAGCGAAAAGACTGTCAACAAAACGTTGGGAGTGCTCATCATGCTGGTGTTAAAACAGTGAAAGATACATTTGATGAATGAGTGGCGGCGGTTGAAGCTCTATATGATCCTCTTGAAAATTTGGATACAAGAGGTACAGCTCAAGGTCTTTTACATGCTGACTGTGATTTCACCTTTATCTGCTACTTTTAACTTTGGGCTGATCTACTTGAGGAAGTTAATCTTGCACAGCAGTTTATGCAGACTTAAGGCTTTACTCTTGACGAAGTAATGACCAATCTAGAGGCCATAAGAGGGGTTCTGCACGAAAAGCGCTGTCACTTGGTGGAACATGCTATTGAAAAAGCGCTTCTAAAATCAGACCAATATGGAATTTTGGTAGTGAGGAGGTAAGTTTAAGAAGAATATGGCAGGAGAACAATTAATATATGCTGGTCTCTCTCTACGAGAAGAAAACAGTAGGGAGATGCTGGAGTGTATTGATCGCTGTCATTCTGAACTCCAGAACAGATCATAAGCGATGAAGTAAGTAGAAGATATGCTTGGGGCTGTTCAAACAAGCGTCTTCTATCGGCAAGTGAAGAAGACTTATTAGTGTCTGTTCCAAAATTAGCCTCTTTCTATGATGAGTTATCAGAAGATGAACTAAAGAATATTTAAAAGAAATACCAAGGCTTAGAAGACACCTAAAGGCCGCTGATATTGAATTGCTCATAGTCATAAACTGTTCAGTATTTGGTGGTTTGAAATTCATAGCTGAATGTGACTTCTTAGAATCTCTTCCAAAACTCTTGCTAGGCCTTAAATTGTTTGATACGATCTGTTTGTCTGTGGCTTCATGTGAGCGGAGCTTTTCAAAAGTAAGGCTTATCAAGAACTATTTACGATCCACCATGGAGAGTCAACGCTTTCTGATCTTGATCTACTATCAATTGAAAGTGATACGTTGAAGGATATTCTAAATAACCAAGAAGTGATTTAATTATATTATATTAAGAGTTTTTATGTTTTAAATTTAACTCAGAGATTTTCCCATTTTTCTTTACAGAAAACAAAGCATTTTTAGGTTTTGTCCTAGTTCTCCAAAATGGTAACTGATTTCAAAGTCTAGATGATACAGGATTATGTTTTCCAATCACACTTAATATATGTTGAAATGATACAAGAGGCTGGCAAATTTTGACTTTTGGTGGTTTGGAATACCCTGGTACACTTGATTAACATTTTTATGACATGCAATGTTTTTACAAGAATGCAAAATTAATCCCTTTTTTGAAGTAACTGAATTAAACTTATTATTAAAATGAAATAAATAAATTCCATAAACCTGGTAATTTTTCTTTTTAATATTAAAATTTCTATACATGAAAATTATATACATTAACATTTCAGAAACACAGTCCTTAAACATAATTATTAGTATTAGATTATTATTCCCAGCAGTCCTACTATGAAGATGTGAGGACATGAATGGTTCACAAGTGCTCAAATCAAATAAAGATCTATGGAATCTGTAGCAAGGGAATCATAGATTCCAGACTTAAATTTGGGTCATGAAGTTTGCTCGACAGTGACCTGAAAAGAAAGATAATTATTTGATCCATTAACTGCTTCATTTGCAAAAAGAACTAATTTCTTATAATCAATTCTTAGCTAAAAATTTGGTGTATTTCTTTTTGTTGTAAGTGTAAGCTTTACAGAGTACTTATTTATTTTAAATGCCATTAGTAATTTTTGAGTGTTAAGGGGCCATCCATAAAAGACGTCCACCAATTTTTTTGCTATTTTTACCCCCCAACCGAACTTAAATTAATGAATATTTTGGGAAAATGTACAACAATATAAAGAGTATGTATTTACAAAGATTTTTTTTAGAAATTCCAATTATTTGCAGGCAAAATTCTAAATGAAATAATAACTGTTCGAAAACATTTTATTGAATCACTGTATTAAAAAATGTAATAAACAAATAATCCACCATTCTTCAATCAACGGAAAATTCGGACTGCAGCCATTCAAACATGTTTCGTATAATGACATCTGTTCTTGAGTCTTCAATTGCTAATTCAATTTGAGTGGCAGTCTCTTCGTCTGATTCGTCTGCTATATTATGTTCACTAGCAGGAATATTGCAATCGACGACCTTATGTTTTTTCATTGCCGCCTGTGATGGGAAATGTTTACAGCAGAAACATATTCTCTTGGAAATTCTTCCAGCCACCGATGGACAATAGAGATCAAAAGGCATGCTACTGTAACTGTGATCGGGCAGTAAATTTGCAGTAAATTTATGCAAAACTGCTGCACTCAAAAAANTGTAACTGTGATCGGGCAGTAAATTTGCAGTAAATTTATGCAAAACTGCTGCACTCAAAAAAACACTACAATGTGCACATCCACTTTGTCCTAAACCCCCTTCCCCCCCCCCCTTTGTCCACTTTAGTCCACTTTTTTGCTGAACCCCCCCTCCCCCCTTTTGTGTGGACGTCTTTTATGGATGACCCCTTCAGAAACTAACTGCACACTGAAAACTTGTACTTGGTAATCTCAGAATGGCAAATTTAACAGCCTAATTATTTTTAAGTTTATATTGATTTAAAATTTAAGGACCTTTTGCATGTAATGTAATAAAGAGCTAAATTATGGTGAAATATGAACCATAATTTGGAATGATCATTAGCAGGAATTTCAGAATTTTTATTTCAAAATACAAATCCTGCTAATTCAACTGGCAATATTTTAAATTGTTTAGTTACTTCTAGTTTGTCATTTTTAAAGAAAGACACCATTTTCAGCCTAGGTAATTCCAACACATGTCAAGATACTTGTACTTCTTATGATTTTATTTCAAATGAGGCATTGTGAGTGTATGTATGTAGACCTCTCAAATTAAACATTATGAAGAATAATGCCAATCAGTACTTAAGACAATTGTAAAGAAAGGTGTTAAAGAGCCAAAGAAACTCACTGATAAACTCCGAAACTGGATCCTTCCCATCACTGGTCCGTAAAGTATCTGTCACTGCCTTGTTTTCTATCAAGGGGAGTAATAACTGTACAAATTCTACTGTATAAGGGGGAGCAATCATGTCAAGCAGCTGCAAAGTCAATTTTGAAAATTTTACGCATGAAACACCAGGGCATAAGACCCAATAAGAGTTCAACCAAAAAGGACATCTTTAATCTTAAATAGAGGTCCTGACATTTGGGCCTCGAAATTCCTTAATATTCCTTTTCTTTGTCCAAATACATTTTTAAAAAAAAATCTCACATCACTTTAACATCCAAAGAATTGCTATTCAAATTTGCTGTTGTTAGGACTAGATTAGCAAATAAATAAATTTAATAATAATGCATTTTAAACATTAATTAAAGTGCACTAGCCCAGGAATTAATTGAGTTCACAGATCAAATTCATCAACTAATAAAAAGTGTTGGACTGCGGTAAAGCTTTAAAATAGATTAAATAGACACCAACAATTTGTGTCAATATAACAATATAAGGTAAGCTTTTCTTTTCTTTGTTTCTGCCTGCTTTTTTCGCCCAATCCTATTTTTTCTCCCCTTTTTAGGTAGGATCTGTATATATATATAATATTATGTAAATTTAATTTATACTTATTTGTCTTTTTGTTGTACTGATGAAGGCATGTGCCGAAACAAATAATTTTGTATTCTGTAAAATTATTATTAAAGCTTACCTTATATTGTTATATTGACACAAATTGTTGGTGTCTATTTAATCAAATTCATCAGCAGGTTTAACTTGTAAGAAAATGTCTTACCTCAGTGACAAAGTGTCTGACTAAAGAGATGTCTGTGTCATCAACACATTTTGTTATAAAAGTGACAACTGGTATCACACAACCCTTGTGCAGTAAGTGCAGCATGCGATCCAGCACCATCTTCTTCAACTCAAGCTGGAACATGAGAGAATTCAACAAAATGTATAAAATGATAATGTTAGAAATATACCAAACACCACAACCGCTACCTAAAAGAATTGTAGTCAACTGCTTCTGTAGACTACATCTCATAGTAAAATAAAATAATATGATTAATCTTCTGAATTTTTCTTTCATTAATTTAACAAATGTACTTCTGCCTAAATAATGTAAAGCCTACTAGATTTCGCATTTGTTTTAAATTTTGATACATGGTTGTAAAATATGATTCATACTCTGACTAGAACATCCAGTTCATCATAGGAGTTCTCAAAAAGTCGTGTCAAAAGTATAAGCGCTTTGTGATGTAGCAATGGGTGGTTGGAAACAATCTACAAGAGAAAACACAGCATAAAAATAATAAGTAACCTGCAGTTTCTAATTATATAATTTAGCTAAAAATTTATGGAAAGGGATAAAATTTAAAGAAATGTTAAAATTGTAATAAAAATAGAGATCATGACATGACTACTGGTACCGGTACACAATAATTGCATTATATTACAATTTATATACAAATATGTGTTCTTAATTTACATTCGTGTAAAGTTTTCTTTGTTATAACATAGGACAGCCATGAGATAGGAAGTAATCCATAACTGACCTCGTCCACAAGAACCAAATGAAGTGGCGTGTGATCTGTGTTAAGTTTAAAAAAATTGGGTTCTGAGACAGTCAAGTCCACCCAATGAAGGACACCCATTCCCACAACAGGGAACCTGCGGAAACATCATAAATTTTTCTTAAAAGAAATAAATAGCCTATTAAATCTCATCAACAAACAACATTGTTTTGAACATTTTTGTTAGCAAAGTATTTGAGAAGTTAAAAAAAATTTTTTTGTAGGAACATACTTAATACAAGAAAATAATGTGTTCACTTCAGCTATCAGCTCTGATGAACCCTTGTGATTGGCTAAAAGTGTGTGAGTTTTTTCAATGGCTTGTGTAGTGGACTTAAGCTCCTCTTTGTTTAACCTTCGACCTATAAAACAAAACATGATTTTAGTTTCTGTGATAAGAAGTCACAATATTCCTAGGCATAAAATATGTCATTTACAGTTGGCTATAGGTATAAGATGATTAAACATTGAGCTTGTGAAAAAAATCACAAGGTTCTAACTGGCTGCATGATTCTGGTTAATACATTTAAAAAATCATTTGGGCTGCAAATAATTTTAAACCTCAGTTATTTGGTGATACCTTTTCCTCCTCTTCGTGACGACTCAACAACACTAACAGAATAAGCCAAGAGAAAAATATACTTTGACTTGTGTTCTGGGCTAATCTTACTGGCGGGATTGTACAGGGCATCAACCAGCAGATCTGGAATAACAAAAATGGCAGAGGAAATTTCATAAATTGTTTTTTAAAACTTTTATGATAAGAGGGTTATAAAAGCAGAGTGAATGTGATGAGGGGAGACAATTCTTATTTCAAAAATCTACCACTTGATGCAGATTTAAATTTTTGAAGAATTTAGAAAAGAATTATTTATTGTCATTATTTTATCTCAATAATGGTGTGGTTTTTATTGGCAATTGGGGAAAATCACAGGTCGGCATATCCCCCCTCTCCAAGCAGCTGGTGAGCCCCATGATCCTTTGTGTTTCACTAAAAGCGTGGGTATTTTTTTTTGATACAGTGAGACACCAGGGCAGTCACAGGAGTTGTCAAATTTTCCTTTGGTACTAATATCCTGATTTTTCTCCCTTGGCCTTTAACAATGGGGTTGTAGCCAGAAGGCAGTTCCCATCTCTCAGTTGAGCTACTCTCCTAGGTTGACAAAAATCTCAAAAAATCAGTAGATTTTCATTATTAACAAAATAAATAGATTATGTCATATACATTACTTGAGTATTTACACAAAAAACTTACCAAGAAACTCAGGAACTCTGATGAGTGCCACAGGAGGACCTTCTCCTTCTGAATACATTTTATAAAGCTGAAATAAGATTAAAAAAATATTTCTACAACAATGGATATACTTAAAAGTCTACTAATAATTAGATAAAAATGCTTTCTGTGATTCAAACACCTGATTGGCTCTTTTTTATCTTAGAAGTGGCCCACAAAGCACACCATACAAATTATAATGTCTGTTAAACAACTGGCAAGCCTTTGATTCCACAACATGTTTCTTGGGAACCCATTGAAGTAACTGTGTGACAACCACTTTGAAAGTATAGAATCCCTAAATTTTGAAAGATAATATTTATGCAATTCAAATTTTTTCCTACATTAACTTCTTTTATAATTTTTATTTAATGCTAAAGGTGGGTTACAGATTGACTTGAATATCACAGGAATCAGTGAAGAATTCAAAAGTTATAAAAAAAACATCTTTTAACTCTGAAATTAGAATATTTGTGACAAGTCATATAGATGCAGGGGCAATCAACAAGCTTTATATCATAAGGCTTACACACCACGGAAACGTCTGCAGGATTCAAAGCTTGTCTAGACAACATTGAAGAAAGGGCCTGGCAGGCACGAGGATATTCATTGGCATGTGTTAATGCAACTGTTATTGGAGTGACCTCAAGACCTCTGGCATGGCAACAAAACAATTTAACAATGAGATTATGAGGAAATTTGAACTGAATTATCTTAAAACCATGAATTATGAAAAAGTACCAAATGGTTAGATGGGTGTAAATATTTTTTTGCTTTTAATAACTCAGAAAATGTTTAGATACAAAATACTTCAATAATGCTGTAATTTATGTACCCTAAAAATAAAAAAGCAGTACACTTTTATGAAACTTAACAACAGAAGAATAGTAATAAAAATAATGTTGCCTGAAATTAACAAGATAAATATGGCACTGAATCAGCATAAAAAGAGATTCTGCTTTGGCCTTCATTAGTTTTTGTCAATTTGATTTTAATTTTAAAGGTTAAGTTAATTTTTTAGAATGATTTCAATAAAAGTGTTCTTTAACTTGTGACGATGAAGGACAAGTTATGATGTTTAGTTGACGCACTTAGCCACAGCAGCTTTTTGCAACTCCTGACATAGCCTTCTCATGTTTGGTCCCCCCTCAGGCTCTTCAGCAGTTAGATGCATCAGAAGTTGGCTGTACAAGTAGGTGTGCTCTCCATGACAAACCATTTTCTAAGAAATATGAACCAGTTATTTTGAGAGAGAATTCTATGCATGTTAAACACATTTGAAATAAACAAACAACTACCTGCTATAAAGCAAGGATGTCATTGAAACATGTATGGATCTTTAACTCAATCCCCACGGCAGTGCTGTTCCGTACTTAATTTATATTCTTGAGAAAGGGAAGTAACTTGGTTTTGCAATTGATTTACATTTGTAAAATATTTTTTAAGCTGCTAAAAATACATTTATATTAATAAATGCATCCATAAATGAATAAGGTTTAATAAAAAATCTAACACTAACCCTTTAAAGGGCAATACTTCTTCCTTTTTCTTACTCTGAACAGGCAACATTTTTTAGTTAGTAAAAACATCAAATCTAAGGTGTTAGTAACATATTTTTGTAAAATAGAAAACAACATAAAGGAAAATTAATGCAGATTTATTACTTTACGTGTTGCTAGTAATCCACACATGAACACAAATATTTACAAAATACAACATATTGTTTGTGATTGTCAGTCATATATTTACTATTTACAAACACTCTGCCAAAAGGTTGTACACTGCTTACGCTGATAGCACTGATAATATTAATGTCATAGTCAATTTCATGCACTTCAATGTCACTTATATTGAACCCAGCGAAATCTCCGCTATCACTTAAAGAATCCTCGAAATCCATTTTGAAAAGCAAAACTTTAAAACCCTGAAAACTAAAAAAAATCTGATAAAATTTTAAGTATACACTTGTAACTGGTGCCCACGCTATCAAGCTATCGGCAAAATCGGACGTAAACAATGCAAAGTCACGCAAAGACTTGTAGATCGCGTGTTTACAACCCTTAGTTGTCACTTTCGCTTTTGGATGTTTTGCCCTTATGTTAGTAAAGACTTTTTTTATAGTTGAGTGCTGTAAAGGGTTAACAGCGAAAACTATATAATTAACAATGACCAAAAAATTAATTTTTGGCCCCTCTGATGAACCACACATGCTAGATATAGAAGCATTGTACTAAAGCACACACAAATTTAAAGTGAAACAAGATAAAAACATTCGGCTTTTAAATTCAAATCACACAAAATCACTGCGATCGCCGGAAGTCTCAAGGGACACGAGATTTTGTTTCTATTTTTAAATAAAAATGAGAAAGGTGTGTCACTCTGCGCAGTGACGCATTTGGATGCATCCTTTAGGAATAGTTAATGTTTCAAATAGTTACAAACCGTGAATTCAGGCAAGTGTTTCTCTAAGGCTTCCTCCCCGCCTTCTAGAAATGTAGCTATGGATGTTTTTAGAACTCTAGTGAAAACTTCAATTTGGTGGCAGGCAGTTGACACTGAGGTGATCTCCCCTTGGAAACCAGCATCGGAGATCATCTGTTATGGTGATAACCAAATATAAAGGCTTCGCTAAATACAGTGCAAATAGATCCAACTAAAACTTTTTTTATTTTTTACAATAAAAAGTAATTTTAAATTTTAAGTAAGTCAAATTTTAAAATCTAATGCTCTACCTTGATTGTGAAGTTGAGAAAGAGACAGTCTGGATATTGTTCAGCGAGTCTGTAAAAAACCGACCGCCATGTGGCCTGTTGTATCATTTCTGGTAGCCATTCAGGCATCTGAGATAAATTGTTTTAACTATTAGGTTGAAGAATATTGATGCTGCAAGTATTAAAAGTGAATAAAATAAATTTTTAATACATAACAAATGCTTTTATATCAATAAATAAATAATGGACATTGTTTGGGAAGTGATTTTATCATTAGCTGTCTCTTTAAAATTAAACAAAGGAGGACTAGTAAATTTCTAATTGATTTTCAACAACAACAAAATATTTCAAATTGAGTAAACTTACTTATTAAATTTAGGCATAATTTAATGAATTCAAATCAGCCAATAAATTGTAATGATGGCTATAAATTTTAGCATAATATATGAATTTTGTTTATTCATCAATCTATTAACAAAATAAAACTTATCTAGGCTAAAAACATTCAGGTTCAACCAACAGTATTCACTGTATTTAAAACAAACATAGAATGTTGTGCACTTGTTAGGTTGGATTAATGTTGCAATGAATAAATTTTATGGGTTAAAAGAATGATTCAACTGACATTGCCATCACTGTTGAAGATGGAGTCAGCTTTCTTTGGGTCAAAGTGTTTCATGACCATGTCTGTCATGTGATTCTCCACCAAGTGTGTCACTTCACTCTGAGGTACACCTGAAGAGCAGAGCAATTAAAAATATAATTCAAGTCAATGGAAACAGTTGGAAAATTTAAAAACTGATTTGTTTGAATTCAAAGGGAATAATAACAAATAAAAGTGGGAAACATCTAAAGAAAAAGATGAATGTATCTTTTAAAAGGAACTTAAGGATTTTGTGCAAAAATGGACACCTGTATGAATTAACCAGCTGGCCATGACATTTACCATCCCTGCGATAGAGGTAAAATTGACTGATAATAACTCTACAACTGTTGAAGGAGCTCCACCAGCTTGAAGATATCTTAGAAATAAAAGAAAAAATATTAGACATGTAGTACATGAAATATAAATTTTAATTTTATGACACACTATTAATGTGAAAATATATATAAATATGTTCTTCTATATTTATTTTCCCATTAAAAGCTCAAAAATTTGCCCTATCTTCAAATGTGGCTGTTCAATATGTCTTTTGTTACATTGGCTGATATAATTCATCCATAATTTAAAGGAAAGAAATCTGAAAGCATTCAATTAACCTTTTCACTACCTATGACGCCAACATGACGTCACGATCACCCACTTTTAATTACCAAGGACGTCACATTTTCGTCAAAACAAAGAGGCTAAGAACTTTTCTGAAATACCAAGGGCGTCACGTCAACGTCATATTTCAATGCTATGTATTTCTTTATTCGTTAATCTATAGAGAAGTTAAAAAGCAAATCAGATAGAGAATTTCAAAATACTGAAAAGTTCTTCTTTTTAAAATAGTTCTTTTTATAGCTGAGTCAGCAAAAATCGATGCCCAAAACCAGCAGTAAAGAAAGGGTTAAAAATAAAAACAGGAACTGCCTACCGTTTAAGAACACTTAATATATTGGACTCCATAATAAAATCGCGCTGGGAAAACAAAGCTAGGCATTCTTCTTGTACAGCTTCAGCATCTTCTTCTTCCTCTTCTTCCTCCTCATCATCCACAACATCTTCCTCTCTGTCTTCATTATATGACGGAGACTAGAAAGGAAAAAATTAGTAAGTGCTGTTCTTTGAAAAAAGAGCTTTGAACCTTGTTTTTACATGCAGTAAAAGTAGCCATACACTTAAAAATTGGGCTTTGGAGAATCTTTAATTTTATATTACCTAAAAAAATAATTAATATTCAAAGATAAAATAAGTGAAATTTAAAATTAATGTCATAGGCCTACTATATTAACTATATATTGGTATATAAAGGTCACTTAAACTCAACAATTTGGAAAATTAAAAAGTTAGGACTAAATTAATATTTGTTCATTTGAATGCTAATTAACGCCTCTTACCCCAGCACCCCCCACCCCCAATAAAAATTGGGATATAAAATAAATTAATATAATGAAATAGCTATGTGTATGATGATGTATGAGATCATCATTAATTCATACAATACAATAAATACTACAATCATATGTAAAAGTTACATTATTATGTGAATGTGACTCGAAACTTAAAATAATTGATTATTAGTAGTAGGCCTTATTTTATTCATGAACTTAAACAACAGTTTCACTTTCACTTCAGTAGAATATAATTATACTATTTTATATAATATTAATGGCTGCGGCTATTCGGACCTGGTATCAGAAGTGAGAGGTTGGGTTTAATAAAAATTTAAAAAAAATATCATTGTTAGGTTTGTTAAATTAAATTTGGTATCGAATGAAAGATAATTGAATGTACTAGATGTTTGTAAACCTAATTCTTCAGTTTAACTAAAATAAACTACCACTAATGTTTAGCATCCGAATAGCATTTAGTCTAATGGGAACCGGGTCCAAATAGCGCTGATGCGTTTCCTTTTCCATTTTGACTAAATGCTATTTGGATGTCATTTGTGGTAGTTTATTTTAGTTAAACTGAAGAATTAAGTTTACAAACATATAGTCCATTCAATTATCTTTGATTCGATACCAAATTTTACCTTACAAACCAAACAATAATATTTTAAACATTTTTTAATCCCACCTTCTCACTTCTGGTAGCTGGGTCGGAATAGCCATGTCCAATATTAATAATATTAGTTTATGTTTAGTATTCAGTATTGTTAATAATTAATTATAGGCCTAAGTATAAGTATTATTAATACTTATTAGTACTTATTTCTATCAATAAATGATTAATCATTAGTATCATCCACCTTAAACTTAAAAAAAAATTTAAATTATTCAGTTTACTCAGAGAATTTTTTCAGAGTTTACTGATTTAGTGTAAAAGTGAGTTTCAGTTTATTGAAGCTGAGACAATTCAATAATCAATATCAATAATAAGAAAAAATAGCTTATTGATATTGGCTATTCTTGATTACCCCAGGATATTCATCTGAATTGTAATCTTCAGCGTCAGCCATGGATAGTTACTTATGTTTCCTTATTTGCCAATATCTTTTACTTTTAATTTAAACCACAGTGTTTTTGTTTTTTTTGAATAATATTGGGCCGTTTTCTTTTCACGAATTATATGATCCAACATTTTAATACGAACAATAGCGTGCTGTTTTTGTGTGCGTTTCGGTCTGACTAAAAACCATTAACCATCATTACATTAAAAGCCACAATAGCAAAGTTTAATTAAATTTAAATTAAGGCATTGAATTAAAGGCTACCCTTTTAATACGCTGGATATTCAGTTTATATTAGAAAGCTGATAGCGTTAAGTTTTTTTTCAAATAGTTATGTTAACAAAACAAGTGTTGTTTTTTTTACTTTAAAAAAACGTACTTCTATTTTACATATTGCCTTGTGCGTGACACTGATGCGGCACTGATGCCCATGCACAATTTAAACCCATTAAATTTATTCTTAACTAACCATGCCCTTCTGCCTTGTTAAGATCAACATAATTTAAAACTTCAAATGCAATTTACATAAAATGGTTTGCATAAATGCATTAATATTTATGATACGGGTTTGAACTTATTGTAGCCTATTTAAAAAATGTAATTATTGTAATTGCTCCATGATTTGCCGATATAATCTTTAAAAGAAAATTTTCATCGCCAAGAAACAGAAAGGCCAACAATGTACATTTAACTATAAATCCGGCAGAGATCTAAAAATAGCATTTAAGTCACAATTAGATGGCATTTTTGAGAGAGTTGTGTCACAGCAGCTTATACAGCATCTTAACACTTATGACTTGCTTGATAAGTTTCAATCGACAGGACACTGCATATTGTGGTGAATGAAGCATCTTCCATGAACACTTACCTACGGCATGCCACAGGGCTAAGTTTTGGGACCTTTCCTAGTGTAGGCCTACACTAGCCAGATTGGCAGAATTATTGTAAGTCATAGTATAGCCCCTATCCAACAAATTATTTGCGGATGACACAGAACTGTACAAGTGTTTCAACCCTGATCCTTTGGACTGTGCTGCTGCTGTTCAGGCTGTCGAGTATTGCTGTCTTGTGGTGAAATCTTGGATGACATCAAACAGACTTAAATTAAATGACGATAAGACAGAGGCAATTCTATGTGGTTCTGATGTCAATCTTCTGAAGGTTGCTATCGCATCAATAAAAGTTGATGCTTCTGAGATCACCTTGTCTAACATTGTTAGAGATCTTGGCTTCTACAATGATAGAAAACTTACAATGATCCCTCATATCAATTCTGTGGCCAGGGCTTGTTTCTGTCATCTTTTTTTGTGTTGTTGTTCGTCCGACAAATCTAGTCATCCAGTTAGGTGTACGCGCGTGTGTGTGTGTGTGTGTCTGTGGGGGGGGGGGGGGTTGTTTCCACAGTGAGTTCATAGGTGGCTTGCTAGTCCGATCCATGCTCGGAATAATCTCTGGCACCTCAGACAGGGGATAGTTGCCGAAGTCGGTGATCTAATGTTGCTCTTTTAGGCTAGCCTGCGTGTCTCGGCTGTGACTCTCCTACTGGCTTCATGAGATTGAGCCCCCTTCTTGACAGCTGATTTCAACCTGGCTCTGTCCTGGGCTGTCCACACCCATTCAGTAGGGCTGTTGCTGAAGGCCTTTAGTGCCGTTTTCAGTGAGTCTTTGTAACTCTTTTTTTTTTACGTCCCTGTGAGTGCCTGCCTTTCGTGAGTTCTCCGAAGAATATCTGTTTAGGGAGTCGGTTGTCTTCCATATGGGCTACGTGTCCCATCCAATTGAGTTGAGAACGCATCGGGGTTATGAAGATGAAATTAATAAGACAACAACTAATGCCATAGCAGTCACTCAAATCCAATCAAGATTAGATTACTGTAACAGTTGTATGTGGGGTTTACCTCAAAATAAAACTCAGAGCCTCCAGAAGGTACAAAATACTGCAGCACACGTTGTATCACGTAAAAACAAATCTGACCACATCAACCCAGTTCTTACAGATATCCACTGACTTCCTGTATGTGAGCGCATTAACCACAAAATTCTGTCCATGGCATACAGCTGTATATATTCAAAAACTGATTTCTAAACATGAATCCTTGCAGAACCTGCGCTCTTCAACACAATCCTTACTGAGGGTTCTCAGTTTGGAGGGACATAGAAAGAAGTCATGCGGAGTGCGCTCTTTTAAAGAAATAGCGCCTAAATTATGGAACAGTTTGTCTCAATCTTATAAGGAAATTAAAAATTATAAAAAATTATTGTAAGAAACATTTAAAGACTTTTCTTTCAATAGATTTTATGACACCAGAGCACCGTGAGCATGCTAACATAGCATGGACACAAGACACAAAGTATTCAATCATCATCATCATTAAAACGATTTCAAAACGAGCTCAAATCGACTGGAGTCGTCCCTCTCCCCCCACCCACCCCAAACCACTCCAACTGTTTTCAAGTAGAATAGACTAGTCAGCTTGGAATGACAGTCTCTACTCCCTAATATGGGTATGAATAAGAAAATAATCTGACTACAGTGGTCCTAAAATAATTAGTGAATGGTATAGAATTTCTAAATGACTGCAAAATCACTGTAGGAAATCAACGGCCAAAAATTTAGGAAACATAAATAATTTCTCTAAAACTAAAAGCTTAGTCCTCTGGAATATATAATTTCACCAATACCAAATACTGTTTATGGGCATTTTAAAAGCCCAAGACACGAAGCATACGTTTGAATCTTGTCTAACGCCGTCTTGACGACTCATTCTTATACTAATAAATTATTACTATTTTTCGAAAATAATTTGTCAAAAAGTAAATAAATAAATAAAAAATTCAGCACTAAATTTACGATGCTAAATTTAAAAAAAAAATAATTTAAAATGACATCATGCATTAACGACAACACATCAGTGTCATCTTAAGGCACGGGCTCACACTACGCAGTAGCACAGGGCCTCACCATAGTTTTCATTCATCTTGAAATACCAACTATACCTTGTTGCAATTTCATTTTCTTTAAAAGTGCATTAGGAAACACGTTTCCAAGTTTTTCCGAACAAGTTGTTCGAGTTTTTAAATGAGCCGTAATTTTATTATTTTAATCCAAGGATTTTAAAAATATTTTTGGGGGTGTGGTCCGAGATATTACTTGTCCCAGGGCCTCGGCCTCTTGTTGCTATCAAGGCGGCCGTGCAGCATAATAACAACAGTGTTTCTTTTATAATGTATAATTTTTCTATATGTTTAAGTACCTTAATAGAATATTAATCATACTCTTAAACTTCTTTACTTTAAAATCGATCAAAGGAATGAATTTTTAAAATTGGTTTTTGTGTAATATGTATTTCAATAAGGGGAGGAAGGGGGAGAGACAATGAACGATTTATATCTCGGAGATATTTTGGATTTCGATATTATGGACAAATAAGCGACTATATTTTATTAAATACGTTTTGGTTCGTGTGAATTTAAAGCTAGCATTTTAATTTACTGTTCATAACATCAATGCTGAACGCATACAAATAATTATGGGGTATCTTGATATTATTATATCATTTGTTTAATTCAATTAATTTATTTATGTAAGTAGTAATCGCAATCTTTTAATCACAGTTTCCCTCAAAACCTGCACCTGTATTAATAATTATATACTGAATTATACTGTATTATACTATACTATACTTTATGCCTAAGAAATAGCACTAAGTAAGTGAGTGAGTGAGTGACTAAGTTAGTATTTGTAAGTAATAGTAACAATTACTAAAAAGTCACTATCACTGATCAGTAAGTTGAGTGACTTACTAAGTGACTAAGTAGACTAAGTCTCAGTAAAGTAAAACCAAGTAAATAGTAAAGTAAACATTTAGACTTAGACTAGGACTAGACTTACATAATTGCAACTAACTTACATTATGATGATTATATTATATTAAACTTAAACATATAATAATAATAATATATAATATAATTAGGCCTATACTATGCCTTTACTTTTAAACTTTAACTTTAATTTTGATTACTGTATAATACATTAAATTATCATTAATGAAGTTAATTATTTTAAAATTGAAAGAAAGTATATTGTCTGACTAATTAAAAAATTCGGTAAATGCAAAGAAGAGATGGCATGTATTTTCCCATGGCCGCAATCTTAGTTACCACGACCCGTGAAATTTTACAGGTTCACGGGTCGTGTCAACCAAGATGGCGGCAGTTGAACAATTCATCATCATCATCATGTCCCTTTGTCCTTGGACTGTTGGGGCGCCACATATGACATGTAAACTATCCTCCTCCACTCGTCTCTGTCTTCTGCACTACGCACAGCATTGCCTAGTTTTAGTCCCGTCCACTCTTTGATGTTATCTTCCCATCTTTTTCTTCCTCTTCTTCTCCCTCCTCTTGTGGTGCCCTGCATGATTTCTTTGGCGAGCCCTTGTTTCCTTGTCAAAGGCCATACCATTGTAGTTTGCGCTTTTTTTACACTCACTAGGAGGTCATCGTACTGCCCTATTGCCTGACGAACCCTTTCTTTCACTTGATCATTGGAAATATGGTCCCTATTGCAGATGCTAAAAATGCTTCTGAAACATCTCATTTCCATCGCCTTTATTTTCCTTTCAAGTTCTGTGTTTAATGTCCAGGATTTGCAGGCATACAGGAAAATGGATAGGACTAATGAGCGCATCAGCCTGATTTTGGTGCTGGGGGCGATATTTTTGTTGTTCCATATTTTCTTGAGCCTCTTTAGTGCTGTTGTGGTCTGGGCAATCCAGGACATTAGTTCGGGGTTGGAGCCTTCTTCTGAGACTATTGCTCCTAGGTATTTGAAGCTGCCTACAGTCTCTAGTCTTTCCTCCCCCACCTTAATTTCAGTGGAACAATTAAAATATTATAATAGGCCAACCAATGAAATTTTAAAATTATAATTTATAAACCAATAAAATTTGTATACAAAACAAGCAATAATCATATTAAGGAAGATGTAACTCTAGTAAAAAAAAAACAAAGGGAGTGAATCCATGACAAAAACTTAATAAAAACATGCAAATGATGTCATGGAATCTCTTCTTTGCATTGACAAAAAATTCAAAGTGTCTGCGCACACCGTGGTTTTGTACCTAGGGCAGGATCTAGCGTGACCTAAGCCTGTGTACACCACGGCAGTGAAGTGTACCTAGCAAAACCATGGACCTAGTCCTGGATGCACCATAGCAAAAATTTACTTTGGTAGAGTAAGCGCTAGTTTGTGATCCAATTACAGAAAATGTTTGAGTTTTATTAGGCCTATATTACTATATACTTAAACCTTAAATTTTTTTGTTCATCTTAATATTTTTACAAATATAATTAATATATTTTATATTTTAATTATTTTGTAATTAATTACTAAACAGTAGTTTAATTTTAAATTTAAAAATATTTTGTAGCAATTTAAATATTTTAAAACATAAATAAAATTCAGATTATTAGATCTAAGTGTTTTAACTGGAACAAGATGTGCTGGCCTTAAAACTTATATTAAGCCATACTTTCAGCTCCCAAAAGTGTTTTACAGTGAAACCAATGATTAGAAAAAACTCTTGAGGCCATAGCAAAAGTGGTGTTATTTCAGTGATGTGCTATTCCCGGGTTCAGCCAGTATGATGATCATGCTCAGTAATTTACAAGATGACGACTTATGAAGAGCTTATTTTCAAAACGCGTTATCCACCACTTAAAAAAAGAATGAAAAAACCTAACCTTTTTGTAGAGTAAACCAGGTTTCTGTAGGACGTGGTAAAGTTTATTTACAAAACACATTATATTTCTATTTCATTCTTGTCTAAAAATTATTTAACTCTCTAAATGGAGTATGTAATTTTTGTAAAAAGTTGAATAATCTCAAAACCCCAAAAATGGACATAATAATAATAATAATAATAAGACGTCTTATATAGCGTGGTACCCCAGCCTAGGGCTGGGCTCACCGCATTGTACATAAAAATTTTATCAAAAGAGACATAATTATGACATTAAAATAAAATACATTTATGAAAAAAAAAGAACAGCAATGTATATTCACCCACCCCACCACATAACTTTTACAAGACAAACCATGGACGGCAACCAGCAAGATCATTTATCGGTCAGAGGAGGGGAATCAGTCAGGGTAGTATAATTTAAAAAGATATGTATGTGCAGTTTTGAAGGCCTGGGTGGTTGGTATATTGCGTATGTTTAGTTGCAAAGAATTCCATTGTTTGGGGGCTCAGAAATAGAAAAAAACAGAAATTTAATGTATGTGACACGTATAATAACCACAGAACAAATTTGAATACTAAGGGAGATTTTTATTATATTTAAACATTCTTCATGCGGTTTACATTTTACTTTTACATGTATATGTAGCCATGATGTATCCCACAACTTTTCCTGAATCTGTTATGAACATCCAAACAAAATACCATTATATGAATATTATGTACATGGTCGTCATTTCATCCATTTTGCTCTCTCTATGCGTTGGCAAAATTTACACACGATATCCACTTTTCACATTTACGCATGGACTACTTTCATAAATTAGCTATCCATCATCAGGGATTCTCACCTCGTCAGAGAGGGGAGGGGGTTTTGGCAGATTGAATGAACATTTAATAGTTATCATGACACGTAAAGAAAAGCTTTCCATTTATCTAAAAATGGTACCCCTCTATTTAAAGGAATAAAAGTGATGCACGGGGCTGACCGCTTTTCCAACCCCCTTATCCTATGCCACGGTCCCAGAGACTATTATATGTCCTCCTATAATCCACAGATTCCCTCCCTGTGGGTGTACAGCACAAGTTAGGATGTAAAATGTATTTTACTTACGAAGTGGTGAGATACGACCAATCAAATACTTGCTCTTTACAAGTACCTTGACACTTAATTGTGGAACTTACCCTCTATCTCCCTTCCAACCCCCAAAATAAAAAATAAAAAATCCTTAGCAAAACAATATTACAAATACAGGAAGTTGTTTCCATGCATTCATACAGGACTTGAGCCCTGTGCACAATAAAAATACAAGTGCTACTTTTGTTTAAATTTGAAGTTTAATGAGAGCATAACATTAATTTTATAAGTACCAGTTACGCCAAAGAATTAAAGACTGGACTGGCAAAGACCATGGTTTTGCTGCATATACCCCTGCGGTGTACTCAGGCCAAAGTCCATGGTTATGCTAGGTACACCACCACTGTGTACATAATGCCAAAATTGTACTCTTTCTTAGTCTTAATTCCATCTTAGTTACTCTATCAATCAGTAGCAAGTAGAAGAAGTTGTTTTTAGGGGTTCTTTAATTATACATGTATTGCTTCTCATGTGTTTGATAATGTAAAGGTGTTTAAAATCCAAAATAAACCCATATAATTGTAATCAATTTTATCTGTGAATTTATTATTTTGGTATTTGGCCCTTTTTAGATTTTTGCTCTCCCAGTGTCAAAACCTGGCTTTCGCTGCTGAGGCTAAGAGCATATATAATAGGCATAGTTGTTTTAATAAGTAGGCCTAAAATTTAGTAAGGGGTAAGAAAGTGTTAAGGCCCCTTCCCCTGTTATTATACGAAAGCTAGAGCTAAGCTAGGGGCATTAGGATAATTTTCTAAGTAAGCATAGCTAGGCCTATATTTTAAATAATTCATAGGCTTAGCCTGCCTAAGCCTGCAGTAAAACCATATTTTAGCATGGAGAATAAACTAAAAATAAAATAGCCTAACAAAAAAAAACCATACATTAATTAAATGTTTTAATATATTTTTTTTAAAGAATCAACTTATTTCATTATTTAGCCTGTACTGTATAGTACTGGTTTTCTGTTATTCAAATTACCATAAGTTCCTTGACTAAAGAACAAACATTTAAGGAATTGAAGCAGAGCAAAAAAAGTTGAGCCATGTTTTGTCATTTCCAGCTACACTTGTGGTCTGTACGTCAGTATACTGTTGAGACCTTAGACATGTCCTTCTTTATAAGAAAATTTCAAATAAATAATTCATATATTTAATTTGAATTCTTGATGAATTTCACTTTAAAAAGTCAAATAGTACTACATTGTTACAAAATCTGTTTGCATTTTTGTGAATCCTACCTGAAAGAGAAGATAGCTAGTAAATAATTAAATTATTCTAAATTTAAAATACTATCTCTGGTCTTCTACTCTCTCTCCTTTCCCTTTTTAGCGCCAAGTAGACCATGGGCCATTAGCAATATCTTATCTCTGGTAAAATAACTTTAATTTAAAATGCTTGAATACAGATTACTGGCTATCAGTATCTAGTATGGGTGAACGCCAGGCAATTAAAATTAATAAATATAGGGTCCCTTGCATATAGGCTTAGCATTAATTAATTTTTAAAAGTTTTTCTTGCCCTCTTCTCAATCTATCATATTCTTTAATAGTGTTAATCATACTCACTCATTATGTTTTTTGTTTAGGGCCTAGCCATATTTTTTTGTGTAATTTCCGGCATATAAAACTGGATATTAATTACATTACTAAGGTTCAAGGATTATATTAGTTTAAATGGGAATATCTCTGGATTATGAGGATTACGACACTAGTGATAGCATATTGGCATTTAGTTAGTTTACTTTTGCTGTATATGATATGAAGACTTTTAAAAGTTCTAATAGAACAGAAGTCTAGTTTTAGGATAAAATAAAAGTAAATTAAGTTTCTATTTTGAATTGGGAATGTTGCAGAATTGATCTGTTGTCAAAATAAGCTTAGAATTCAAAGACATCAATCTTCTCAATTTTATATTATAGGCCTAGTAATTTCAATTGCTATTGTAGGATTTGAATTTGTTAAAATCACTTAAGTTCAATTGAATGATAATTTTAATTTTTTTTTAATATTAACAGGTTGATTTAAGATAAGATCCTAAATGTCAACTGCTAATGATTGAGAGCCATGATGGAGCCACCGGTTACGACTGGTGAAGTTCTGATTAATAATTGTAATGAGCTGTCAACCAGAATGCTAAATCTACTAATGTCTAAAGAAATGTTTGACGTGCAGTTACTTGTTGGAAAACACACATTTGATGCACACAAATTGATACTGTGTTCCTGCAGCGATGTTTTTAGGACTATGTTGACCAATCAAAAATGGTCAGAAGCCACCAAACAGTCTGTTGTTCTAGTGGAAGAACCAGTTTGTGAATCAGTTTTTGGCAGATTCCTGCACTACATCTACAGCGGCCAACTCTATCTCTCACACAGTAATGTAGGTCCCTTGCTTACATTAGCTGACAAATATAATGTTAGAGAAATGATTCCACTGTGCAGGACATATATGCGGAAGCACATGGATGCTCCTGTGGCAGTATCCTGTGTCTTACAATGGTGGCAGATTGCCAACATGCGCAATGATACAGAGCTGGAAGCTATCATTCTCAGCTATATTGAATGCAACTTTGATAAAGTCATTGCCCTCCCTGACTTTGCCAATGCCAATTTGGAAACCATAGAGAAGCTTATTACAAGTTCACGACTTGTTATCCATTATGAAGCCTTAATTTTCTTTAGTGTTGTGGTGTGGCTTAAAGATTTCATGGATCTACGTCATCCTACAGCTGAGGAGGCTAAAGCTGCATTCAGAAGATTAATGTGCCATATCCGATGGCCAATGATGAATGAAGAAGAAGTTGCATGGCTTCGAGAATGTTCAGATGTCCAAGAATTTGTCAAGACTTACAGGTCTTTCCTCTCCCTGCCTGACACACCACCTGATTTGGATCCCTGTTTACTACTGACTCCAGCAGACCAGAGTGAGTTGCCCTCACCAGTAGACATGCTGTGTTCTCAGAGCTGCGACATGTGTGACAGTTTGCTTGGCTGCTCAAAAGAGAAACCTTACCATTCAATTCACGCTATTTCTTTACTTGGGTCAAGTGAGCTCAAAGTGAGATCATCCAGACATTCAAAATTAAAGCTAGCATCAGACAAAATCAAAAAGTATGTTTACATGCCCAGGGTTTATTTCTCTGATTATTGGTGCACCAAATTAACAGTCTCCAACTTCCTCGCCTTCCCTCAATATGCCACACAGACATTTTTCTTCTCAACTCCTCAGACTGGAGACAGACTAGACAATGGAAAACTTTTAGACTGGGAGGTAAGTGAAATATATATCAGCGTAAAATATACTGAGGCTCCAAGTGTGCATACTCGTAACTCTTGAAATTTGTTGTGGGAACATTTTAAGTATTATCCTATTCTAGTTAAAATACAGCCAACAATGTTGACCATTTAAAACACAGCTGACAATGTTGACCATTTAAAACACAGCTGACAATGTTGTCCATTTAAAACACAGCTGACAATGTTGACCATCATGTTTGAAACAAATTAAAGGATGCCTAATTGTTCAAGTAAGAAGTAAAAAAATGTTTTGACTTAAGCTGCTAAACAAATAATATCAAAACATGGGGACTTAAAAAACAAGATAAGCAAAATTAAATTTTGTATATGTACATTTTTTGTTGGCTGAAAAATGAGAATCATGTCAGTAGGATATCAAAAATTACATACTTGCACTATGTTCTGAATGTGTTCAGTGGAGTCAAACACATGGTCACACATTATTTTTAAAAAGTAGAAATTAAAATTCAATCCAAGAAAGCAAGCAACTTTTCAAGTGGGGCTTACTAATTCTAAATATTTAAATATCCTCGAGATCATGATATATTTACTCAGTCATCTTATTTTACTTTTGGTTCTTCAATTAAATTGAGTAAAACATTTTTGTTCTGAAGTTTTATACAATATTTTGTTAACTCACTGATTGTGTAATCACCAGGTGGAGCTCAGTCCGAAAGGTGTTCGCTTTCCTCCAGCTGTTCTTATTGGTTTGGAGCAGGACGGCAGTAAAATTATTGAAGAGTCATATATCCACACTGTTCGTCTGTCCGTTATGTCAAGATCACCACAAGAGCTGCCACTCAAGGTACAGCCCATTTTGTCATTTTAAAACTATTTTAAGGATGATAATGAATGAAGTTTCTGGGGACCATCATATTTTTCATTTTTTAATATCTATTAACCTGACTGAGTGCGTCAATCTTTTTATTGGACAGGTTGAGGTCAATGTTTTAGTCCAAGCCAATAATCCTACAATGCCAGGATGTTATTTCTTCGAATGCTGCCGGCGTCACACTTGTATTTTCGATGGCAGAAATCACCGACACAACTTGGATGATATTGTGCCTTATGAGAACTACGGAGCATATCTCCATCCAGAATGTCCGGTCTCTGACCTATATCCAACTCGGACCTTAGCTTTTACCCTTTACATTGTTATAAGACCTTTATCCTAGTAAATTTAAAAATTTGACAACTAGTGGTATTTTGAAATGCTCTTTTAGTTTCAGTCTAATTCAGGGATTTAATTTTTTCTTTTTTTTTTTTAAAACTTTGATTGAAATGGTCATCTACTTCTTAATTTGCTGCCTGGATTTTTAAAGAAATCCCAACCTCCTTTAAAAGATCATCCAACAGTTACTTGTAAAGGTCTATTTTATGATAAGAGCAATTTGATTTCATTGCATGACATCATAAGAGTAGCTTGTTAAATATTTTTTTTTATCTTCATTACTCTTGATTTTAGTGTTAAAATGTTGCATGCTCAAAATTTTGAAAACACACCACGTATTGAAAAATGTTAATTAATAAGTTTTAAAAACTGTATCATAGATGTGGTAGTCAAGCCGTGCTCACAACTTTTATTTTGTGACACGTAGTTTAAAATTTAGAAGAGTTAAGTATAATTTGTTTTAATAATCTCAATGATTGTTTTGTGCAGGATTTGTCAAGTCTTTCATATTATCTCCAATCAAAAATTTGTGATTGAATTTACTTGTACTGTGTGTTGATATTTTAGACTCAAGATTTTTATTCTTTTGTTGTCTTGTTTTTGTTTTAAAGAGATCACTTATTATTATTGTTTGTTTATTCAAACAAAGTATGGTAGCCACTAAGAAGATTCAGGGCACAATTTTTCACTCTTCTTCCACAAGTCAGAGGCTGATTAAAAAAAAAATGTTCTTCCAATATTTTTATTGCAGAGCACATCATTAACAGATGTTTTAGTTCTTTCATAAGGTATAACAGTAGAGTTCTTTTTTTGAGGTATAACAGTAGATTTCTTTCATAAGGTATAACAGTAGAGTTCTTTTTTTGAGGTATAACAGTAGAGTTCTTTCATAAGGTATAACAGTAGAGTTCTTTTTTTGAGGTATAACAGTAGATTTCTTTCATAAGGTATAACAGTAGATTTCTTTCATAAGGTATAACAGTAGAGTTCTTTCTTAAGGTATAACAGTAGATTTCTTTCATAAGGTATAACAATAGATTTCTTTCATAAGGTATAACAGTAGAGTTCTTTCTTAAGGTATAACAGTAGAGTTCTTTCTTAAGGTATAACAGTAGATTTCTTTCATAAGGTATAACAATAGATTTCTTTCATAAGGTATAACAGTAGAGTTCTTTCTTAAGGTATAACAGTAGAGTTCTTTCTTAAGGTATAACAGTAGATTTCTTTCATAAGGTATAAAAATAGAGTTCTTTCTTAAGGTATAACAGTAGATTTCTTTCATAAGGTATAACAGTAGATTTCTTTCATAAGGTATAACAGTAGATTTCTTTCATAAGGTATAACAGTAGAGTTCTTTCTTAAGGTATAACAGTAGATTTCTTTCATAAGGTATAAAAATAGAGTTCTTTCTTAAGGTATGACAGTAGATTTCTTTCATAAGGTATAACAATAGAGTTCTTTTATAAGGTATACAGTTTAAATTTCTATTGATAACTTGAGCCTAGATTTAACAGTAATCCTAAAATGAATGCCAAAATGCCTAGCATACAAATTTGTGTATAATAATCTTATTAATGTTAATTATTATTTGAAATAAATTGTTTAACATAATATGCTTTATGGTGGCCCTTTTAATTTCAACAAATTCGTCCCAAAAAAAAAACAAATCTATTTTATTCAGCTTTAAAATAACCTATTAAACTTTTGACATGTATTTGATGAAACAATTGAAACTCTGAAGGAGAAAGATGATGTAAGACACACAAGCTCACCAAAAGTTGGGGGCTTGAGTGGGTGGCTTGGTGGCAGATCATGTAATTGTTGAACCCTTGCTCTAGCATGGCAGGTATGTGTGGACAGGGTGACAAGATAGATGTTGGAGACCCCCCCCCCCCCCCCCCCCCCCCACAACCTAACCTTGTTTACTCCATTGCATGGCTGGTTACACTTGATAAATATAATATGTGCATTTTTCAGCATGGCAAGAATAAGATTTCTTGTATATCACTTTTTGTCTGTTATTTTATTTTTGTCTGTTTCCATCCATTTATCTTAAATTAAAAATATATAAGTAAGCAGCTTTCCCAATGATAGATGATTGTTGCTACCAGCTTAAAAAGCAAAAGATTCTAACTCTAAATTATAAAGAGTTATGCCCCCAACCCTAAAATTATGAAGATAAGTAAGGAGTTGCATACTGCCCATAATATATAGGTAGATGTACTGCCCATAATATACAGGTAGATGTACTGCCCATAATATATAGGTAGATGTACTGCCCATAATATACAGGTAGATGTACTGCCCATAATATATAGGTAGATGTACTGTCCATAATATATAGGTAGATGTACTGCCCATAATATATAGGTAAATGTACTGCCAATAATATACAGGTAGATGTACTGCCCATAATATACAGGTAGATGTACTGCCCATAATATACAGGTAGATGTACTGCCCATAATATACAGGTAGATGTACTGCCCATAATATACAGGTAGATGTACTGCCCATAATATACAGGTAGATGTACTGCCCATAATATACAGGTAGATGTACTGCCCATAATATACAGGTAGATGTACTGCCCATAATATACAGATAGATGAATTAGATGTAAATTGTTATTCACCCTCACCCTATTAATTAAGTATAGATGGAATGAGTTATTTCCCCTCATACATATTTATGTACAGGATCAGTGTTTTGGGGAGGAGTAAGTAACTCCTGAGTACCGTACACAAAACTTGAAACACAAAGTTGTCCCGGAAAGACAGCAGTCAACTTGGGGGTAGCCTTAAACGTCGGCTTTCTGTGCTAGAATCTCAACAGTTTCTACACATCTACACGAGTAAGTCTAGCAAGTGGTGGGAAAAAAAAACAAAAAAAAAAAACGACCAGTAGGAATTTGGAAAAAACAAAACTAAACATTTTGTGATAGAGATGACGGTGCCAACAACCTGGTCACAGTTCGGTTTGCTAAGCAAAAATTAACATTTCCGCCGAAATGTCTACCGATTCTAGTCGATTCTAGAAGGGAATGAAGAGTGTCTATCTTTTCCACATTGAATGAAGAGTGTCAGTCACGTCCACATTGAATGAAGAGTGTCAATCATGTCCAAATTTAATGAAGAGTGTCAGTCGCATCCATATTGAATGAAGTGTCTATCACTATCAATGATCACGTCCATTGTTTATGCTTGAAATCGAAGTCCGCATCCATGAACACGGGGACTCCGACCCGAGGGGCGCACACTCCACTGATGTAAACATCTTCCAGTCCAGCCGGGGGGATTCTCAAACTAGCCTGGAAGAGGAGTTTAGCTGTGCTCACGGGGAACCCCATGGCACCCCCGAGAACGTGCGGTGGAAATGTAGGGTGAGGATACTCCTCTACGGAGACATAGTTTTTGGCCTGTTTATTCCGCATGACGATGTTCATCGTATTCCACCTGCCGAGTAAAAAATTCCCGAACCGCTTTTGGTAGCGCTGCAGTGCCGCCACAGCGTAGGCCACCTTGATCCCGACGTCATCGTCCGATTTAATGACGTACGCGGTTCTGGTACAGAAGGTGCTGACCCACTTCAACACCGAGATGGTTTTCAACGTCAGGTTCCTGTACGAATCCACAAAATCTTCCTGCACAATGTCGCCGAACCTCCTCATCTCCATGTTGATCTCTACTTGAAATCGCTTCGACTTGTTGTGGTGGTTGGACCTTCCGATGAAAAATAACAGCGTCGCGTTGTTGCTTCGCTCGTGCGCGTAAGAGCCTTTCAGCCCTTCCCTGGTCTTCATCCGAAACTCAAAGTTTTCCGGGGCAGACGACACCGCGAGCACGAGGTCGATTTTCCGCCTGGCGCATTCCTCTTTCGGGTTGTGAATGTAAGGGAAGTCGTGCTTCCTTATTGCGGGTTCGGACAGGAATTTGAACACAGAAACTTGCTGCTGGAGTTCTCGGTCCAGCGTCCAGTTCATCGACGACAAAACGTCAGAGTCGATGGCGGAGGGTTGGAGGAACATGTTATCGTATGAGGGTAGTACAACTTTGGACATTTCCCCAGTCTGGTCATCCGACTTGCCTTTTTTCTGCATCTTCTCCCTGATGCACGCGACCATCGCCTTGATGAAGTCTTGCTTGGAGGCACTTTGGTTGCCGGTGATGGCGGCACCGAGCTCCGAGAGGTCCATGGTTTTCCCAGGCGTGTCACGTGCTTCCCGTTGTTCCGGTGGCATGTCGTAGTCGTAGTCGTCCGGGATTTTGTCTTTGGCGTGGGTCGTCAAGAGGATGCCGATGTTGGCGAAGACGGAGATGAAGAACATGATAACTATGGCGACCTGAACCGGGGTTTGCCGTCGCGAGCAGCCAGATTTTTTTGTGGATCTGTGAAGAGTTTAAGTAGAGATTAAATATGGATCGTGAATAGTATAATGAAAGGCTTTAAGTAACCATTAGCAGCAATGTAGTGTGTATAGAATAACCAGCTCTTATTTTTTTTTTTTTTGATTTAACATGTCATTCAATAGCTCATCATTGCAGTCCTCTCTATATATGTTGAACCCCCTAGTATTAGTGGCAAAATTTTTGACTAGTATGGAGCCGATGGACATCACGAAAGTAGGTTGTTTTGGGGGGGGGGGGGGGGGGGGGCCAGAACTTGGCCGGCTCGCTTAGTTTTTTGTTTATTACTGGAGGCGCCATAGTACATAGCCATTAAAATAAAGCCTGCGTATTCAGGGAGGGGCAATACCCTCAGCCCTACCCACCTCAGCCCTACCCAAATGATGTCCCCGACTCCTGTATGAGACAAGTGTCTATTTTGACGACCCTCCTTCTTTCTACGCCACTGTCCTCGACAGGTCAGTCCAAAAGTTTTCTAGGTAATGTGTTTTGTTAAAGAGGGTATAGAAGGGTCGTACCGCCCCGGGTGGACATTTTTCTTTAAATGAAGGGGATGCACTTTAGGCCATTTGCAGAAGAAAGGGGGGGGGGGGGGGGGGTTAAAATCTAGCGGGAATAATCCTAGCTAGGCCTCTGATCTCTATCAAGCCAAAAATACAAATATGATAGCAGGCTATAAAGCGTACTATGGAACGCCAACATAAAAATCCACCGAAGTGCCGAAAGGGGGGGGGTGGGGGTGGGGGGGGGGGGGGGGGGGGGGGGGGGGGGGGGTGTGGTTAAAATCTAGCGGGAATAATCCTAGCTAGGCCTCTGATCTCTATCAAGCCAAAAATACAAATATGATAGCAGGCTATGAAGCGTACTATGGAACGCCAACATAAGAATCCACCGAAGTGCCGAATAAATTAAGCACTTAGGTATATAAACTAAGCCTACGACACTATAGTGCTGAAAGTGGGGTACCTACTTGGAATACATATCATCGAGTCACTCACTATCTGTCCTGCCTCAACTTCATTCGCTAACACCGTTGATCTATCGTAGCACTGTGGCTACTGTAACTACATAGTAACACAAACGTCAACGGCATCCAGGTATCCTTGAAAACAAGCAAACTTAAAAAAAAACTGTTAGTGTGCCGTCATCTTGTATTTATGTATTCATTAGGCCAGCGCCCGCTTCCACTAAGTGAGTTTCCGACAGCAGTCAACTTGCGATTCGTATCAGTTCCAATAAAGCTGATATAGTTAACGTAACCTGTTGGTTCCTGCAGTGCGACATGGCTACACACTACAGCTGACTGGAATAAGTCTGGCTCTCCGCCTCCACGTCTTGTCAACATTACCGTGTTTACATAAAGAAGCAGAGAAACTCCTCTGACAGGAGCTAACACGCTGAGAAGCACGGAGGACACTGGTTCTCAAAATGTCCTGTACAGGGGACTAGAGCCAGTTTTTTTTGAGCACGTAATCTCAGGTTGCGGGCGCGAACTATCACTGAGAAAACGTTGCTTTCATTTAAATTCCATCATTTGTATCTTTTCACCTGTAAGTAAGCGCGTGGTTTCAAGGAGTGTGCATATCAACATTTCCAAAGAAGGGAGAAAGAGAGAGAGAGAGGGGAAAAGAACATATTATTGTTGTTGTTGTTCAGTGGCTTGGGAAAAGGGTTTGGTCCGCCGCGGGGGGCACTTCTTTCCTTTCTACGGAGCGGCGGAATTTTCGGCCAACTCCAGGTGTTTTTTTTTTCATGGAGAGGGTGGCAAATATCTTGAATCACCCCTGGCAGCACTAACCATAGCTACGCCACTGTTGCCGTTTGATTAAGATACATAGGCGGATTTATTGGGGCGGGGGTGCGATACAATAACTGAGAAACAGTAAACGGGTGTTTAGTGAACCGGAACCACCTGATATATTGTCTGGTCACACAAGGGACTATGCTGTGCTACTGTACTGGGACATACACTCCTGAATGAAGGGCGGGGCCTGTCGCCAAACGATCGGTGGCGAATGAAAGGCACGTGCACCCTTGCCGCTCTCTTTTCTTTTGAAACCGATTAGAACAGCGGTTCTCAACCTGTGGTTCGCGACCCCTTTGGGGGGTCGAACGACCCTTTCCAAGGGGTCGCCTAAAACACTTGGAAAACACATGTACTCTAAAGTGATGAAGCACCAACGAAAATAATTTGTTGGTGGGGGGGGGGGGGGGTCGCCACAACATGAGGAATTGTATTAAAGGGTCGGTGCATTAGGATGGTTGAAAACCATTGGATTAGAAGGTATCTGAACCCGAGGAATTCAAATTATTTGGTTCTAACATAATCACATAAAAATTGATTGCTTAAGTGGGGATATGTTTTTTTTTTTGGAGGCGGGTGGGGAGGGGACCTCGGGTCTACAAATTATTGAAAAAGTTAATATATAGGTGCAAAAATTGTATTACATAAAATTAGAGACCGACCGAAAGTGATTTTCTGATTTCGGCCGAAGCCGAAAATAGGCCGAAAGTTTAAAATGACTTTCGGCCGAAACCGAAAAAAGGCCGAAAGTTTAAAAATGACTTTCGGCCGAAACCGAAAAAAAGCCGAAATTTAAAAATGAATTTCGGCCGAAACCGAAGCCGAAACCGAAAATGAAATATTAAGATATTTTGAAATTCGTTCCCGCATACATTCTGCATACATCGAAAATGATGTGGGAAAGTATAAATATTTACATTCTTTTTATAAAAAAATGAGATAATCGTGAATATTAGGTGAGCGGAAAAAA